GGAGCTGACCACAGCGCAGGAGGAGACCAACGCCAAGCTCGGAGAGTTACAGATGGAGATGGAGTCCCAGCGCGAGAGGATCGACCAGCAGGCAGCTACAATTCGAACGCTGCAAGAGCAAGCAGAGCAAGCATCTACGACAGCGGGGTCAGTGGCATCTGGCGCCTCTGGCTTCACGGGCTCGACGAGACGTGGTGCAGCAGGTGGCAGTAAGTTCAGGCGGGTTGGCACGGTCGAGGAGCCGGCTGACAAGTTAACCAAGTTCGTCGGTGGCTTCCCTAGGCCTTTGTTGGCCAAATTCAGAGAATCTCACTTCGAGAACCTGAAAACGGTGTACCCGCAGTACATCAGCGACGACGTCAACGGCTCCTTCCACCGCGTCGGGGTCAACTACAAGATCACCTTCAAGAGCGAGACGGCTGCGGCAGACTTCCAGGACCAGTTCAATCGTGCAGGCCACATGTGGACGGACCCGAGGGACCACACCAAGCACCCGCTTCGCGTTCGAGGCGATCTCCCGATCGATGTTCGCAACCGGCGTCGTGCATTTTCGGCCATCTACACGGCTGTCAAGGATTTGCTATCGAGCTCGGCAAGGTGGAATCCATCATGCAGGCTTGGAGTGGATGGCTATGAGGGTGTTCTTCAGGTAAGCAATGATGAGGACTTGTGGGAGTTGGTCTTCGCTAAACCTGCAGGCTTCAAAGATGGCAAAGAGATCTTCACGTTCGAGCCGAAGCAGACCGAGCTTTCGCAATGGAACATCACGGCAGAGCAGACCCATAACGTGATCAATCAGGCGGAGGCTGAGGCTCGCAAGCTCGTGGAGGATGAGGATTTCTGACATGATAACACACGGGGACGTCCGAGAAGACGTAGAGTTTCACAACGTTTGAGAGTTCGTGCTTCCTCTTCTTCTTCCTCCTCCTCTTCTGGTTCCTCGGCCTCATCGGGGAGTGGGCGAGCTTCGTCGAGTGGGCGACCTACAGGCGGGAGCTCCAGCTCTTCAGCTTCTTCGTCGAGCTCGCCAGTGGTAGGTGTGCGTTCTCTGCCTTTTTTTTTCCTGGTACTCGACTGGGGTTAGTGTCGTGGAATTGCCATGCGCTTTTTGGAGATTTGGGAGGTGACCATAGGACTCAAGCGCACACGTATGCATGTGCCAAGGGGCTTCTCTCGAAGTATGATGTATGTGCTTTCCAGGAGACACGGGTGTTCAGGTGATTTGGGAACGCTCCAGAAAGAAGTTAAGTCGCACTCTCATTATGTGTTGTTTTGCTCTGCCGTGGGGGCTGGTGGAGTGGTGTTAAGTATCGCCAAGAAGTTGGCGACGAAGTTTTCGCATATAGTGCATCGTGTGCTCGTGCCTGGCCGTATCCATTGTCTGTCGTTCCTCTCCGACTTCGAATGTCTACAGGTGTTCAATATTCATATCGTTCCAGGTATCCCAGAAGCCCAGGTAAAACAACAGATGGACAAGATCAAACGCTACATGCTCCCTCTCACCCCCTGCACCGTCGTCTTGATGGGCGATTTCAACTTTGCGGAGTCGGGCGAGGCCCGCCTGCAGACGCACGACGGAGTCGAGCGCGTGGGCGACAACCGGCTGTGCCTTGCTTTCCATCAACGGTTCCCTCGGTTTGCTGAACTCTCCCAACCTAGCTACACCTACCGACGTAAGACTGAGACGATGATGACGCTATCCCGAATCGACCGTATATATACAAGTATGCCTACTGCTGACCTTTTAGACCTACATCCTCAATCAAATACTGTATGGCCTATTCAGAACCTCCGCAAGCCCTCTGACCATGCCCCGATCTTCCTCTCCCTGTTCCCGTTGACTGAGAAGCCAGACTTGCCGACTATACCTAGGTGGATTGCTACGCGCAGTAAGTTTCGAGAGATCCTGGACGAGGTCGTGGGCCCAGATGAGCTCCACGAGGCGCCCCCTGAGAGGCTCATGGAAATTAAAGACTGGTTCAGACACGCTGCCCACTGTACGCGGGTCCACGTTTTCTCTCAAGGTGCTTGCACCCCGTCCGAGAAAGTCTCATGCTGTACTAAGCTGCTAAGAGCATCCAGGGATGGTTTAACTGCTATCTGCAGGAAGGCTGTTCAGGCCTATGGCGAATTGGACAAGTACTTCAGCGTGGAATGCGACAGGTGGTTGGATATGCCTGGCTTTCACTTGTTGCCGAGTCGTCTGGTGCGTGAAGTTTTAGACCAATATGAGAGTAGCTCGTTCGAATCCGACCTCCCCCCCTGCGGTGATGGAAAAACACATTGAAAGAGTTCGACGACTTAGAGCTTGGCGAGCATCGAGGAGCCAGGTCACTCTCTCTGCAATTTTAGATCCGCGCGGTGCTGCCCATCGGGTGCCTGAAGAATGCGCGCGCACGCTTGCTGGCTATTGGTCAACTGTCTTTCAGTGTGGTGAGTCTGCTAACACGCATGCCAAGAAGTTCCTAGATCTGGTTCCCCAGCTCGAGCTAGATGACTACCAGTTCACCACCATAGACCACCAGAGATACCCCTGGGTTATCAGCCCCGATCAGTTTAGATACATCCTTTCGAAAAAAAGCATGACACGGCCCCTGGGCCCGACGGGCTCCCATACTCGGTGTGGACATGCGGGAATGAGGTGGTGGTGGAGGCCTTATATGCACATTACACACATGATGGCTGGTGGAGTGTTGCATGCATCATTTAACCACTGTAGGCTGGTAATTTTGCCGAAGGGGAATCTTCCCCAAGATGGGATGGCTGACAAACGACCCGAAGACACCCGGCCCTTGGCGCTCAGCAACACTGACCAGAAACTCATGGCCTCATGTCTGGCCTATCCGCTGAAAAATGTTGTTCGTGAAAAGCTCCACCCCGTCCAGCGCGGGTTTATTAATGGGAGGAACATGATCGATAATGTCCTGGAGTTTGAGGGGTCTACGGCCACATGGGGAGTTCTCTGCCAGGCAGACTCTGTTGGAGGCGCGACCTTTGACCTGAAAGCTGCATTTCCGTCAATATATGTTTCGTGGCTCTTTGAGGTCCTGAAGGCTTTCAGGCTGCCACTTGCTGTTCGTGGTGCGCTTCGTGCTCTCTATCTGCAAGTGCATTGCTTTATTCAGTTCGGAGTGCACCTGTATCCAGGCTTTGAAGCACTTCGAGGCGTCCGCCAGGGGTGCCCACTGAGTGGGGAGAATCCAACTTCGGATTCCAATGGTGCCTTCAGCGTTTGCTGATGATATGTCGGCGATGGCTTTCAACATCTTCCGGGCTCTTCCAGGGATCCTAGCTCTGTTTCGTCTTTATGGGCCGTGCTCTGGATTGGTTCTCAACGTCAAGAAATGCAAGCTGATTTTATGTCAAAATCCTGGGGAGGAGGAGGTGTTGAGGAGGTTCCAGGAGATGGGGGTTGACGTCTCGGAATTTGGTATCGAGAATATGGTCATCACCTTTGGCATCCCTGTCGGTCGTGGTGCTCGTGCACACGCTTGGAGTATTGCCATCAGTAAAGTTCGAGCTCGCGCGAACGAGGTCAAGGCTCTAGGACTCGGGATGATTGAATCGGTCATAGCGTAACGTGGTCAAGGCTATAGGACTCGGGATGTTTGAATCGGTCATAGCGTACAACAGATACTGCGTCCCCATCCCCCCCCCCCCCCCCCCCACATCGCCCAGTGTCACATGATTACGAAACTTGCCCTCGGGAATGAAAAAGAAAGCCATCAACTGCTCGCGGGAGCCCCGAGACATTCGTTTCCTCCGCAGGCGCTTTGTAGACTCCAGGAGCTCGGCAGCCCCGTGGAGTGCAGGAGTTTGAAGGTGGTCTCCTGGGCCACCATGCTGCGGGCGGCGATCCGCTCGGACTCTTTCTCGAGGTTGAGAGAAAATTTCAAGATTTCCATCGACGGCGACTATTGTGATATCTCTTGCAAGTTTAATGCGTACTTGGTGGACTCGATTTTTCTACAATATGCATTGTCTGTATGAATGGTTTTGTACGATAAAGAACATAGATGAGCTCCCTTATCCTAAGGTCCAGCCTGCAATAATCAAGATATTGAAACAGCGTGAAGACAATGTGATGTGTCCCATCGGTTCGGTGATTGCTCCTCGTCTGGTCAAGATGTTAGGCCCTCTTCATATTGATGCTGTTGATCGCACCATCCTCAGACTCAACCTCATGCAAACTCGTAAACTCCCGTCGTTCATGATCGTCAGTGTCCTCAAATCGATCTTCAATGCGTGGAATACAGCACGTCGCTACCGACAACAACAATGCCCTTGTGTGTTTGGATGTGGAGCCCAGGCCTCAGATTCCATGGAGCACGATATGGTATGTCCTGTATTGGTCCCGAAAGTTAGACATCATCTTCATTATCTACCCCTGAGCTGGGGCACGAATGCACACAATGCCATTTTCTTTCATTTATATGACTTATCTTCCGAGCTTGCCGCTGCTGGTGCCCCCGCTCCTCCCTCGTCGGCCTCCCTCCTCTCGCATGCTGTTGCAATCGACGCGGTTCACTCAGTCTTTTCCGCCCTCAGGTGCCATCCCAGCTCTCCCCAAAGGTCCAGGGAGCTGCTGCTGGCCCGACTCCGCTGTGCGGCACGGCGATCCCGGCTCGTCCGTGCCCTCTGCCGCTAGGCGCTTCCTGTTTTTGTGCGTCTCGTCGTTTGCGTGTCCCCTTTCCGCCCCTTCTTCCTGCTCTCGGGCTCCGCCCTAGGCTCTGTGGGTGCAGGTCTCTGGAGGCAGCGTTGGGCCCCGTTAGTGTCGGCGCGGCGGTCGACATTGACGTGTCCTCTCAGGGGTGCCACTCCTCCTCCTCGTCCTCCTCCCCCTCCCTCCGCCTCCTCCCTTTTCCTCCTCCTCCTCCTCCTCCTCCTCCTCCTCCTCCTCCTCCTCCTCCTCCTCCTCCTCCTCACCCCCCTCCTCCTTCTCTCCCCCCTACCCCCTTTTGCGCGTGGCCGACGGCCGCCCTCGGCCCAGCTGCGAACAGAGGACGGGCGCCCGCCGCGGTCCGGCGCCGGTGCCGGCGCCGCCGCGGGGCCGCAGCAGAGCCGGGCCCTCGCGCTCCCCCTTTGGCTCCTCCTCTGCTCCCCCGCCGTCCTCCCTCCTCCTCCCACGCCTTCCTCCCTCCCTCTCTCCCTCACTGCCTCCCTCCCCCCTCCTCCTACTCCTTTTTCCTCCTCCTGCTCCTCCTCTCCTCCTCCCCTCCTCCTCCTCCTCCTCCTCCTCCTCCTCCTCCTCCTCCTCCTCCTCCTCCTCCTCCTCCTCCTCTTCCCATGGCGCATAACACAACCGAAGGACTGTCATAGCACAAAGAGTCGGCTGCCGATTTCGGTCCACGGTGCTTCAGGGATATCCTTCTTCAACATGGGTGGAGTCGACTGACGCGTCTGCTGAAAAGACGTCCTATCCCTAATGTGTTTGGTCCTCCTAACTTAGGCCCCCTCCCAAAGGATAGGGATGCTTTCATTGTTTTCACCCTCCTCCTCCGTACAATGTCTAAATACGACTGCTACCCTTCTCTTTCCCCAGATGCTGTCCGAGCGAGGACCCCCCCTCTTCCGCATATTGCCTCTTGACGCTCAGGATTTCAGACATTCCTCAGACAGTGTCTGCATTTTGAGGTTTTTTTGTTTGTGTTGTGAAGCACCTGGCCTGGCTGCCCATCTAGCGGCTACATGCTCGCCGTCGCCGCCCCGTTGCCGCCTCAGCGTCGCCCGTCGTCTGGGCCTGGCTACCGGTCTTGCGGCTCCGTGCTCGCCGTCATCGCCCCGTCGCCGCCCTGTCGCGGCCAGTCGTCTCGGCTTGACTGTAGGTCTGGCGGCTCCGTCCTCACAGTCGCCGCCTAGATTCCCCTGTCTGAAAGAGAATGAACTCCACCACCACCCCGAGGGAGGGATTAACCGCCCGCTATTTATTATTGCAATTCGCTCATGATTCTGCCCCACCGTACATCCTAGATCTGAACTCAGACCATGCCAACCAGGTCACGATCGACCACCCCACACTCATCTTTTGCAACAGATATCATGCGCGCCATGATCAATAGTCCCTAGCAAAGGAAACGGGACGAAGTGCACACGCCATCGTCGTCGCGCGCGCATCCAAATGTTTTTCAAAACCGTAGGCTCCGTGAGGATTTCCAAATTGAGTGCCCCGAAACCGCATTGAAAACATGGTTTTTGCAACATCAGTTTTCGACGAACAAAAAGGTCTGCACCTCATCGCATTCGACCAAGCGGGCCCCTCGCGCGCGCATGTCGGAATCCGAACGCCCTTGTGCGCGCGCTGGGGCGGCACGATTCGATTCTTTTCAAATGATGCAATGCGGGTCACTTGCGCGCGTCGGCTGCGCGCGCATGGAAAGCCTTTTTTCTTCAAAACTTTCACCACTGCCGCGGGGACACCATCATCGTTATCGGTGCGGTCACCATCGGTGCCATCATTGGATTTGCCGTGGTCATCGTCATCGTCGCTCACTATCATCGCTATTATCATCATCGTGCTTGCCGTTGCCGACGTCGCTCTGGTACCACGTCCGCCCAAGTTACCGACTCGCACTGAAGAGCCCGCGTGTCACCGCGGTCTGCGAGATGCGTTGGGAATTTCCCAGCGGTCAGCACCACCGCAGTCGCGTCGGTCGCGCCAACCTAGATGGCCGCTGTGCGCGCGATCGTGCGCGGGTGAGCGCGGCCGTTCAGATGCACAAACCATCACCAGGCACTCATCGCAATCGCTGCCGCATGGGTTTTGCAACTCAAATTGCGGGTGGATGGGTGGGATGGTTGCGCGAGCAGTGGAGTTGATAAGTCCAAGTCTGTACAACATCGATTGCACCGCGTTGATTGTTTCACACATGTTGCACACGCTGTATGTATATATATATATATATGTATATATATATACATGTGGCAACATTGAGATTGCACCACGTCGACTGAGCCGCATATATTGCACCGCGTATATTGCATCACGAAGTTTGCATCGCACACATATGCTTGAGAAACGGTTCGGTGGTGTGCAACGGTGGGAACTTCGCTCGCCGATCGAGGCCGTTTCGACCGTTAGGAAATGCTGCGTCGGAAGGAGGAGGGGTCCCTTGACCCGAGCGCCGACAAGGTGGAGGGCGCCACGGCCGAGGCAGCGAATGACCTCAACGCGGCGCCGGGCGCGGAGTTCTCGCATGCCGAAGGGAAGCCCCAGTACGCCCACCTGGACACGGCTGGGCCGCCGCTCAGTTTCGACCACAGCTGGGGCGATCTGCAAAAACGGGCGGCGCGCATCAGCAGACACGCCTTGCTCCGCTGCGGCGTGGTGCCGCCGCCGGGAGCGAGATTTGTCGTCTGTCTGGGTTGCGGGGGGGTCAGGACGCCGAGCAAACTCCTGAAGGCGTGCTGCGGGTTGTTCGAAGCCCGTGCGGGCCGCGAGCAGCTGCGCTTCAGCAGCCAGGGCAGGTGGCCGCAGTACCAGCCCGGCCGCCACCATGAGACGCCGGAGGGGCCGAGGGCATTCAACGCCGAGGAGACGGGACAGCCGGAAAGTGCCCTCGGCGGCATGCCCACCAAACGTGCCCGCGCGGCAGCTGGGGATCCGGCGGGCCGCGCCGCGACGGGCATTTGCTACGAGTCGCTGCGCGGCGGCATCTCCTCGCGGCCTTCGGCCTGCACGCGGCGGAACTCGAAGGCGCGCGGCCGCGGCGCAGGCGAGAAGCTTTGCCCCCAAGCTCGGAGGACGAGGGGTTCGGGTCCGAAAAGGAGCAGGTGGAGTTTTGCTTGGTCTTGGGCACGGCCTGAGGCTGCACTGGCACCGGGCTTCACCTCTTTCTTCTCAGATCCTCTTGGTTCCTCCCTTTTCTCCCTCCTTCCCGTGCGAAATACGAACCTGAACCCGCAGGGGTGTGTCTCAATTTCTTCGGTCGGCGGTGGACCCGCATCTCTTCCTAGCGTGGTCAGCGCACCGGGAGTGGCGCCCGAGGCGCCGCCAGGGGCTGTGGGGAGGCGAACCCCGCCGTGCTCTTCGGCGTGGCCGCCTGCCTCGCGCACTCGCTGGCGGCCTTCGCGGCGGCGGCGGCGGCGGGGGCCCACGCCTCCGACCTCCTGCGGACAACGTCCCCGTACTTCGAGGAGCTCGCGAGGGGTGTCGGGCCTGGCGACGCAGGCACGATTATGCAGACTGTGAGCGGCGCCGCGCGGCTCTTGGACGCCGCAGCGCCCGGTGCTCTGCTGGTGGCGGCCCAGGAGCTTGCCAGCACCGCCATCAGTGGGATCCAGCCGAAGGGCGGACCACCAGAATCGGCCCCTCCCGCCGCCGATGTGGCGGGGGCGACAGACCACTCCACTCCGAGGCCAGCAGGGCAGAACACGGCCGCTATTTCTTTTAGCCGGAGTTATTGAAATGAACACTTTTCGTTCACAACTTCATGCATGTTTCGACCTGCTTCTGCCGACCGAAGTTCACAAACAAAGCGCATCGCAATCATGAGTCACTTCTCAAGAATGCCCCTGCATCCTTGCCTCTCGGCCCATGCTGACCCCCACCCGTGTGCCGAGGGCCGTGGGCTTCCAGATTCGGCTCCATTTGAGCGTCCGAGGGCACTGCGTCCCCGATGCGCGTCCTCAGGACCCACCCGATCGCGCTGTGCGTGCACGTGCGTGCTTGCGACGGGCCGCAGGGCCTCCAATGGCAGCCCGGCGCGCGGCCGGAGCGCTGGCTCGCCGCCTCCGAGCAGGTCGAGTCGGAGCAGCGGTTGGGCGCGGAGGATCGCGGCGGCCCCCGCTGCCGCCGTCGCCGCCGCCGTCGCTGGAGGGGAAGGGGGGGGGCGGAGGGCGAAAAGGGGGTCCGGACAGGAGGAGGGCGCGGGCGCGGGCGCAGGAGGGGGGAGAGGTGAGAGGAGAGAGGGGAGGGCGGCGCAAGGAGGCGAAGGCGAAGGAGGGGGATCTGGAGAAAGGAGGCGGAGGAGGCGAAGGCGAAGGCGAACGCGAAGGCGGAGGGAGGAGGCGGGAGGAGGAGGAGGAGGAGAAGCAGGAGGAGGTAGAGGAACAGGAGGCGACTGTGAATATGCGAGGACAGGGACGAGGGAGGCGAGGGAGAGTTGGAGGCCCAGCTTCGGGCGTGTCACGAAAGCGAGGGATAATTTCCGCGGCTTGGCTCCGAGGACGAAATGCGGGAGGAATCACAGCAGTAATCGGAGATAGGCCAAATAGAGGGAGACGAGTGTGGATCGTGATGAGGGGGCCGACGTCTAGCGGTCGTCGGGAGGGGTACAACGAGGAGGAGGAGGAGGAGGAGGAGCAAGCAAGCAAGCAAGAACTCTCGGGTGCAGTCGATGGTCGGGCCTCGACGTGAAAACAAAAAATTAGCACCTGAGTGGCTGCAGTGCCGCAACTTCCCTCACCAGCAGGCGCTGCTGGTGGGGACACCACCTGAGGCCCTCGACCCGCCCTTCGGCTGGGGGATGCCAGCTAGGGGGGTGATGGGCACCACCCCTACAGATACCAAATTACCTAGGCGGCCGCGCACGAGGACCTCGGGAAGATCGCCTCGGCATCCGCACGAACGAATCCGACAGGCCACGAATCGGTCGCAATCCAGGAGGACGAGGGGGAGGCTCAGAGGGAGGAGGAGCAGGGGACAAGAATCCTCTCGCGACTAACTCGGCCAGCCTTTGACTACGGGCTAAATTCGGGGGGAGGTCAGACACGCTCGGCAGGACACGGCTGGAGCAAACCTCGGACCCCCTCCCCTCACTTCTAGACAAAAAAAAGAGGAGGAGGAGGAGGAGGAGGAGGCGGGCGGTCATCCAAGTAACGGGCCCCAGATGCCGAACCCGAGGAATAACCACCCGAGATTTAGAATAGGCCTGCGCTCCACGCCACCGCCGCGGGGAGAATGATTTTCATTCGTTGAAGCCATAACCTCCGTGAGGGGGGGAGGATCCCCTCCCCTCTCCCTGTCATGGTAACGAACTTACGAGGAGGCGGGGGGCAACCCCCCAACTAATGTGGTGCTGCGCTCATATGAGCGTTGCAAAAAAAACGGGGTCGTCCTCGCCGACATTGGCGCGTAAGCTCCCCGCGTAAGGTTGCGCGTAAGCGCCCTCGTCTCCAAAGTAGGGTGCCGCGCTGGCGGCCCTCGTAAGCTGCGGCGTAAGGTCGCTACGCCATCTCGCGTAAGACCAGCTTTTTATCGTCGCTCATGCACGGTGTGGTGTTGACAGGCATGGGATAGCCTACAGACTCTTCCAGAGGCGGCCGACGTCGCCGTCATCGTTATTGTCGTCGTCGTCGTCGCCCTCGTCGTCGTCGTCTTCGTCGTCGTCGTTTCCGAGTGCCTCGAAGGGCCTGCTGACGCCCTCAGGGGCCTCCGGAAATCTCCTGAGGCCTCGACCTCAGGAGACTTTCAGATGTGGTTGTCGTCGTCATCGTCTCTGATGGCCTCGAAGGGCCTCCAGACGCCTCCAGAGGCCTCCAGGTCCCCCCCGAAGCCTGAGAAGACCTCTGTAGAACTTCAATGGTGGTGGTCGCGGTCGTCGTCATCGTCGTCGTCGTTGTCGACGTGGTCGTCGTCCTGTTGTCGTCGGCGTCGGCGTCGTCGTCGTCGTACTCGGTGTCGTGAACCAAAGTCGTCGTCGTGGTGTGGTGGTCACGTCGTCGTCATCGTCGCTCTCGTCCTCGTCCTCGTCCTCCTCGTCGTCCTCGTCGTTCTCGTCGTTGTCGTCTCCCTCGTCGTCGTCATGATTATCGTCGTCGTTCTCTTCGGCGTCGTCGTCGTAGTCTCCAAATGCCTCGACAGGCCTGTAGACGCCTTCAGAGGCCTCAAGAGATCTCCCGAGGCCTCCAGAGGCCTCTGGAGACCTTCAGTGGCGGTCGTCGTCGTCGTCGTCGTCGTCCTGTCGTCCTCATCGTCGGCGTTGGCGTCGTCGTCCTCGTCCTCGGCTTCGTCCCCAACGTCGTCGTCGTGGTGTGGTGATCACGTCTTCGTCATCTTCGTCGTTGTTCTCGTTCTTGTTCTTGTCGTTTTCTGTCGTCGTCGTTGCCGTCGTTGCCGTCATCGTCGTTGTCGTCGTCGACGTCGTCGTCGTCGTCGTCGTCGACCTCATCGTCGATATCGTCTCAGAGTGCCTCAAATGGCCGGCAAACGTCTTCAGAGGACGCCAGAGATCTTCCGAGGCCTCCAGAGATTTCTTGAGACCTTCAGATGCTGCCGTCGCCGTAGCCTCGCCGTAGCCGTCGTCGTAGTCGTCATAGTCGTCGTCGCCGTCGTCGTCATCGTCGTCGTCTCGTCTCAGAGGGCCTCGAAGGTCCTCCAGACGCTTCCAGAGCCCGAAGGGACCCCGAAGCCCGTGGAGACCTCTGGAGATCTTCAGTGGCGGCCGTATACATCGTCGTCGTCTTCGTCATCGTCTTGTCGGCGTCGGTGTCGGCGTTGGCGTCGGCGTCGGCGTCGGCGTCGGCGTCGGTGTCGGCGTCGTCGTCGTCGTCGTCCTCGTCCCCAACGTCGTCTTCGTGGTGTGGTGCTCACGTCGTCGTAGTCGTTGTCGTCCTCGTCATCGTCGTCGCTACCGTCATCGTCATTGTCGTCCAGGTCGTCATCGTCATGGGACCTCGAAGGCCCTCCAGACGCCTTCAGGGGACTCCAGAACCCCCCGAAGCATTCGAAGACCTAGACATGTTTAGTAGCGGTTGTCGTTCTCGTCGTTCTCGTCGTTCTCGTCGTCGTCGTCGTCCTGTCGTCGTCGTCGCCGTCGTCCTCGTCGTCGTCGTCATCCAGTTGTTGTCGTCGTCGACGGCGTCGTCGTCAAGCCCTCGTACTCGCTGTGGTCGTTCTCGTCGTCGGCGTCGTCGTCGTCGTCGTTGTCGTTCTCGTCGTCGTCCCCGTCCGCGTCATCCTCGTCGTCGTCATGTCCGAGGGCTTCGAAGGGCCTGCAGACGCCTCAGGAGGCCTCTGGAGACATCCTGAGGCATCTGGAGACTTCCAGAGGCCTGCAGTGGCGGCCCTCGGCATCATCGTTGTCGTCGAGATCGTGGTCGCCCCCGTCGCCTGTGTCGTCGTCGTCGTCGTCGTCAACGTCGTCGTCCTCTCCGCGTGGCCCGAAGGGCCTCCATAGGCCTCCAGTAACTTCCAAAAGCCTCTGGAGGCCTCTGGAGATCTTCAAGGCGGCCGTCCTCCTCGTCATCCTCGTCCTCGTCGTCGTCCTCGTCGTCTTCGTCGTGCTTGCCCTCGCCCTCGTCGTTGTCGTTATCGTCGACGTCGGCGTCGGCGATGTGGTTTTCGTCGTCGTTCTCGTCGTGCTCCCAACCCTCGTTCTCGTCCTTGTCGTCGTCGTCTTCTCCGAGGGCCTGGAAAGGCCTCCAGACGCCTTCAGGGGCCTCTGGAGACATCCTCAGGCCTGCTGAGTCTTCTGGAGGCCTTCGGTGGCGGCCGTCGTCGTACGTAATCGTGGACATCGCCGTCGCCATTCTAGTAGTCGTCGTTGTCGTCCTCGTCGTCGTAGCCGTCGCCGTCCGGCGCCCAGGCCCACCCCCCCCTGTGGGGCCCGCTCGCCTTGCAGTAAACCCGCATAGTACGGATGGGCAACCTTCCTAAGGGTGCCCTTGCATCCTTGCCTCCTCGGTCCATCCTTCGCCGCTTTTGCTGGCCGCGCCCCGCTCGAACAGCTTCGACATGGGCATCCAAGGCCCTTGCATCCTTATCGCGCATCCTTACCATACTGGTTGACTGTACCGTTACCCCCCAAAGGGGGCCCGCCCCCCGCCCCCCGTCACGGACGTCATGGAGGGGAAACACAAAACCCCTTCGGGAGGGCGGATGCGGCCAACCTCTCCGTCCTCCCTGGCCGCCGCCGCCGCCGCCCGCCGCAGCGTCTGGCGGCACTCTGGGGAGCAGCAGCGCGGCTCCCTGGCCTCCACGTTCCATGACAAGGCACGGTCAGGGCTGCGAGGATGGGCCTGTTTTCCACCACCACCACCACCACCATCAGGTGGAGGGGGAGGGGGTCCTCGTCCTCCTCCCCCCCCACCTCCTCCTCCTCCTCCTCCTCCTCCTCCTCCTCCTCCACCTCCTCCTCCTCCTCCTCGTCGTCGTCGTCGTCCTACTCCTCCTCGTCCTCCACCTCCTTCCCCCCTACAGCTCATGGTGGTGGTGGTGGAAAACAGGCCCATCATGCGAGATACGCGGTTGTGAGCCGCTCGGCGAGTGGGAGCAGTTGCCACCCGCCGTTCTGACGCCTCTTCTCCTTCTCCAGCTGCCTGGGCCACCTGGGCCCTGGCTCGCCTCCCGGGCCTCTGGCCTTCGCCTGGTGGTGACGGGGTTGGGGACGTCGACGCCGCTAGTGGGTGGCTGCCGCGATGCAGAAACATGTCCCAACTCTCAGGAGGGAAAAAAACACACAGACACAATTAATCGTCGATTCCCCAGAAATCTGGGACAATATCGGAAGTGAGGGGGAAGACAAGTACCCAGAAAATATGGGAAAAGAGGGGGATTCCTGTTATTTGTGTGTGTATCTATTTGTGTGTCCCAGGGCCCCTTCAGACTCTCGTCGTCGTACCGTCGTCGTGATCGTTGCGAAGGTGGTCGTCGTCCTCGTCGTCGCCGCCGTCACCGCCGCGGTCGCAGGCGTTGTGCCGCCGACGACGACGTCCAGACCTCCTCCCGCGTCGTCAACAGCCTCACGACGCCCGAGGGCGCCTCGCGGGGGCCCCCCTCCAAGAGAAGTCCAGAGGCCCCTCAGACCCCCGATCTCCGTACCTCGACACTTGAGGACGACTGCCGCGCCGTCCTCGATGCGGCCGTGAGATCTGACGTCGCAGAACAAAACAACACCAGAAAAAACTTCAGCCGGAGTCTTGGACCCAATCTTTCTGCGGCATGTTTCGACCCGGATCCTTCTGCGAGGTCCCCTGGGCCCGAAGGGAGGCACATTCGCCTGTCGTGAAGAGAGTCGACGCCAGTCCGCCCGAGGGGGGATGGGCGAGGGCCTTGGTCGAGGGTCTGGTATACAACATTCCCTCACTGGGCCGCGGTCTCCACATACTAAGACGTGGCCGCAGGCGGTGGAATCTGACTGGAGCGGGTCTGCTGTGGTACGCTAGGTTCATGCGGCGTTGGTGCGCCAGCGAAGCCGGCGAAGTCGTTCAAGGCGAAGCACTGAGGGGCACGGTGACGCCACAGGACTCGACGAAATTCAACTTTGGACGATCGGGGCCGCGATCGATTCAAGGTGGAACGGTCGTCGCGGTGTCGAAAACCTCTGCGAGCGCCGCCGCCGCCCGAACCTACCTTACTCAAGGGCCGCCGCCGCCGTCCTTCTCGTCCTCGTCGCTCTCGCCCTCGTCGTCGTCGTCGTCGTCGTCGTCGTCGTCGTCGTCGTCGTCGTCGTCGTCGTCGTCATTATCGTCATCGGCGTTGTCGCCGTCATCGTCGTCGCCTTCGGTCGTCGTCGCCGCCGCCGCCGCGACGCCGCCGCACCTCGCTGTGAGGCCGAGGCGGCGCCGCCGCCCTGCCGCGCTGCCGGAGGGGCGGCGGCCGGTCGCCAGGCGCGCGCCCGCGCGGGCAGGGCGAGCGGCGAGGAGCCCCGCGGGCGTCAGCCAGACGCGAGAGTGTCCCTTCGCCAGAGTGGTCTTTGGTGCGGGCTCACATCGGGAGCCTTGAGACGGGGATCCGTGCAAACGGGGGTCAGCCAGAGCGCCCGATCTTGCAGGATCCTGCAGGGCCAGGGTCGCATTGACCCGGGTTTGGGCGCAGAATCCTGCAGGATTTGCAGGATCCTTCGCATTGGCCCGGGTTCGGGTGCAGGATCTTGCAGGATTCTGCGATGCCTGACTGACCCGGGTTTGGATTGACCCGGGTCAGAAGACCCCCGATCGCAGGGCCCCCCCCATCCCAGCACGGGCCTGCGCGCTTGAATTTGGCCTCTCCGCGGCCCCCCAAAGCCGCGCACGACAGGTCGCCCTTGTCCAGGGTCACTCCCGCGTGTCGTCGGGGGCGGCCTGCCAGCCGTGGTCGTCGGCGTCGGCGTCGGCGTCGTCGTCGTCCCCCGTGGGAGGCCAGCGGCCCGCTGCCCTGCCGCGCCCAGCTGCCGCTCGATCGACTACATAATCGACTGACACCAATATTGATAGGACGAGAAGGAGGAGGAGGAGGAGGAGGAGGAGGAGGAGGAGGAGGAGAAGATATAGGATGTGACATAGGAGGAGAAATAGGAGGAGGAACAGGAAGAGGAGGAGGAGGAGGAGGAAGAGGAGAAGGAGGGGATGTTTCCTTCCGACATCCGTCGCATGTGTTGATGTGTACGGGAAATCGTGGGTACAGAGACCGTCAGCAGTTCCTGTTCGTTCTGAACCAGACTCGATGTCGGGGTCGCCGAGGACGTGGTCCACTGGAGACGGGATGCCGCCTGCCCAACAGCGGCCGCTGACGGTTTTGGACAACGGCTGCTGTTGGGCATCGTGCGCATGCTTCCCGTACCCTTTCCAGGCAGGGTCCAGGGGCAGCGGCAGGGCGCGTGGTTGGCGGGACGGGGTTTTTGCGTTGACCGCCTGCGTGATTGGCCAACCTCCAGGCATTCCTGTTGGGGTCCGAGTAGATGGTCGGAGGATCGCGCCGCATCGCCGATGCATCAGCGATGCGGCTCGATGCGGAACCAGATTTTGGCCACGCCGACGGCGGCGATGTATCGTCGACGTCAGAAATGCGTCGCCGATGCATTGGCGATGCGGCGCGATCCTGCGACGCCATCTGTTCGGACCCCATTTAGGAGGCCTCTAAGAGGGCAGCGGCGGGGTGGGTAGTTGGCGGGGCAGGGGTTATTACGTGGACCGTTTGCATAACAGACCAATCACCATCTGCATACCAGATGGTGATTAAGCCTGTTTGGATAGTATCTGACTGCGCAAGCACATCGCAGTACCACCATCGCACTGACCATCAAGTTGCTCATTCCTAGTCCGGGGTTTCTGTATCGTCCCGGCTGGCCGCTGGAGACGTGGAGTCACGACCTGAAAAACGTTCGGGTCGGGGGCAACACCGGGGGGCATAATTTCAGGGGGTCGCGTCCTTTAAGGTCCAGTACTCCAGATTTCGTACTACAGGGAGGGGGGTCTCATTTCGGGGGGGGGGCTCTTCCAGGCCATCTTAAAGGGCCTGGGGGGGTCTGGGGACGATGTTTTGGAGGGTTCTCCCACGGGGGAGGTCTGAAATGGCTTGTCTTGGAGGGTCCAGACCCCCTCCCTTTTATTACGAAATCTGGAGTACGTGCCCCTCCCAAAACGGTTTTTTGTTCAGTGCGTCGCCCATGCGCCCGCCCTTGTTTGCGTCTTTGTCCCTAGTCGCAGCCTCTCAGAGTGCACGGTCGGCATATGGCGCGACTTCCGGATTTTGCTGGCGACATTTTGGTTTCCGACATTGGTGCAGCAGCCGCCAGTTTTTTGCAGCCGGTGCGCGCTAAAATTCATTCGCCAGTGCGTCGTTACCAGGCACGCCAACCGTAGCCGAGGACGCGGACGTGTCGCGTTGATCGGAGGTTGTGCGCGTCGTGCCGTGAAGGTGGTCACTTCGAATCTCGCGACATAGTGAAATGCCGAACCGCCGCATCTCGCCCCGACCCTTCCATGTCGTTTCGCGCCACTCCTTCTACCCTTCTCCTTTGTCCTTCCTCACCCCCCCGCCGAACGCATTTTTTTGACCCCGCGTGATGCATGATACGTCGCCTTTTCGGCAGGCTTCCGTGCTCACCCCTCTTTGTTTCCCCCCCCCTTGTCCTTCCACAATCCTGAAATGTCTCCCTCGCCCTCCTCGCTCCCGCCGCCTCCCTTCAATCGCCTCCGGCTCCCGCCGCCGCTCCGCCCCCCCCCCCCCCCCCCCGCCGTATGCCCATATTTCCCCCCTCCGATCCATTCCCCCCCCCCCTTCAACCCCCCCGCGTCTGTTCCCTCAATGCATCGACGGGCGAGACGTCGCCACGTCGCCAAGTTGCTATACTGATGAGTCCATGCTCAAATGATGTTTCGCTGTGCGCTTCCAGTTGTTGTTGCTGTTGCTGTCGCTGTCGCTGTCGTTGTTGCTGTTGTTGTTGTTGTTGTTGTTGTTGTTGTTGTTGTTGTTGTTGTTGTTGTTCCTTCCGCGCGCGGTGCAATTCCATGTCGTCTGTCAGTCTCCTCGTGCTCGTATTTCGCGCGTGCGTGCTTCCCTCGTTCTGCGGTTGCCGCGGGCATCTTTGAGTTGCTTCGCCAGTGTGCCGTGCAGCTGACATGCCATTCCGAGGCTCGCAGCGCCTTTCGAGCGATTCGCGCGCGACCTGCGCGCGACGCACAAACGAACCGAGCGACGCACGCGCGACACACGCGCGACGCACGCGCAACGCGTGCGCGGCGCACCCCGACCCGCGCACGAAGCACCACCGAGGACGCGCGGCGCACAAGCGACACGCGCCACGCACGCGCGACGCACGCGCCGCGACGCACGCGCCGCGACGCACTCTCGCAGTGCGCAGTGGCCGTCGGCGCGCCGTGCTTGCGCTTTGCGCTGTCTTCCTTTGCGCCGGGAGAGACGGTGCCCTACCCCTGTTCCCCTCTCTCCTTCCTCGTCCCCTTTTTGTTTCGTCCTCTCTCCTCCTCCCCATCCCTCCTCATCCCCTTCTCCTCCTCATTTTCCTCCTCCCCCTTCCTCTCGCCCAGCCTCCTCTTCCGTCTTTCCTCATTTCCCCTCGTTGTCCTCTCTCCCCCGTCATTGTCCTCGGTTCTCCTTGTCGGGCCGCGAACGAAACCCCCGCATTCAGCGAAGGGTCAGTGAGGAGGAAGAGGAGGAGGAGGAGGAGGAGGAGGAGGAGGAGGAGGAGGAGGAGGATTAATCTTACGAGGAGAAATGGAGGAGGGGCAGGGGCCCGAGGCGAATGCAGCACCAGAGGCGGCCTGGCATGGGAACAGGAGGGAAGGGTGACAGGACTGGAGGGCGGGGGCAGTTGTAGTTGTCGTGTTGGTGATCGTGATCATTGTCGTGGTGGTCGCGCCGGTCGTGATGTTGGTTGTCGCGTTGGTGGAGGGCGGGCTGGTGGTGGTCACGTTGGTAATCGTGCTGGTGGCGGTCGTGGTGGCGGCGGCGGTTTCTGGTCGCGGTAGTTGGTGGTGGTCGTAACCGTCGCGGTGGTCGCGGTAGTGGTCGCGATCTCTGGTGATGATCGTGGCGGCGGTCGTCATGGTGCTGGCAAATATCAAGGGGTGAAAATGGGACATTGACACGATGACGCGTCCATTCGCAGGAAAGTGATGGAACATTGAGAAGTATAGGGGAACACGTAAGTCCAGGAACTATGAACATGTATAAGGAGTCTTAGAATAACTATGTGCATACTTTTGTGAGTGCGTCTCCCTGGGCGCTTTAAATTTTCAACATTGTGATAAATCGCAAGTTGAGCCCTACACCACGCTTTTCTGTTGGATTTTTCAAGCTTGGTCGAGCCACGGTGCGAAAACGCTCTGCGCGAGACCAGATCCTGGCAGCACAGGCCCCAGCCATATGCAGTTGAGAGCAGCAACTTGCAGACGACACGAAGGGGAGGCGAGCAAGAGGTTTGGGGCGTGGATAGAAAGGGCGAGGGCTCATAATAGCAGAGGGGTCAGGAATGAGAAGTGAGGGGTGTGTCGAAGTGGGCGTGGTCACGCATGCGGCCTTTGCCACTGGGGCCCTCGGTGGAGCTTCCTACAGAGCCACGCAGCGTGTGACGTTGTGCCGAAATGGGTCGGGGCACGTATGCGGCCTTTGCCATTAGGGCTTTCGGTGGAGCTCCCAGGGCCACGAAACATGCAAGCGGTGTGCCGAAATAGGCGTTGCAATATGCGGTACCGCGCCTGGGGCCTTTCGTGGAGTTCGCCATGGAGCAGCGAAACGTGAGAGGGTTGTGCCGGAATGGGCGCGGCAGCATCCCCACGGGGCCACGAAGCGTTTGACGGGTGTGCCGGAGTGGGCGCGGACACGCATGCGGCTTATGCCATTGGGGCCTTTGGTGGTGGAGCTCGTTATATGGCCGTGACACGTGTGAGAAGTGTGCCGACACTTGTGCGGGCGCCCATGTGTCCTTTGTTAGTGATGCCTTCGGTATAGAGCTCTCTATGGGGCCGAGATGCATGGACGCGCGGAGTGCAAAGGCAAGGAGGGGAGGGGGCAGCGGGAGGAGTGGACGCGGGGCGCTGCTGATGCAAAACGGGGACCTACAAGAACGTGATGGTTGGGCGATGCTTGGATCTCGGGGCCGCCATTGGGCTCCGGTGTGGCGCGAAGAGGGCGACACCAGGGGGTGGGGGGCCTTGTGCAGGGGCAACGACCGGGGGGCCTCGCCCTTTCGAGGCGGGAATTTCTAGGTGACCACCGCCCCGAGGATCGATTCCTCCGAGCCTCCACAGGCGGTGGATATATGGATACGTTTAGATCCCCCGGGGAACAATCAATGTATATGTATATGCATATATATATATATGTATAAATATATATGTATGTATGTATGTGTATATCTATATATATATATATATATATATATATATATATATATATATATATCACTAACAAATACGCCAGGCCCCCCTCCCGGGGCGTCCTCCACCTCGCTCACATCTCGAGTACGCTCCCTGTACCGCGCTTCCCGGCCTCCCAGGGAGCCCAAGACGATCCCACGAAGCCGCCAGAACGTCAAAGAAAGGCCCAAGACGTTCCCAAGCAACCCAGGATAGCTTTCCAGCGGCCTGGAGAACCTAAAATCGTTAATTTTGTGTTTTTCCATTGTTTTTGGCCTTCTCATCATTTCATGCTTCCCACGCTCCAAGACAGCCGAAGAGGCCCCCAAGACCGCCCCAAGACCGCCCAAGAGGCCCCCAAGACGGGGCCAAGACGGCCCCAAGACTGCCGAAGTGGCGCCCCGGACAGCTCCAGACCACCCCAGCCAGAAAAGGCCCAAGATGAGCCCAAGAGCGGGAGCAGGAGGCCGCCAGAGACCTCCGAGAGGACTCCGGGACCCCCCAGAGGCCTCCAACACACCCCAGCCCCTTGAGAGGCTCCCAGAAAATCCACGACGAGGCCCCAAAAGCAGCCCAAGAGAGCTTCGAGAGCCGTCCCGAGAGAGCCCGAAGAGGGTTAAATCGTTGCTTTCCAGGGTTTTTTGTGGACGTTTCTCGCCTTCTCACGTTTTCCTGCTTCAACGCTCCAAGACCGAGGAATTCGAGAAAACAAAAAGGAATTCCAGTGATTCCTTTTTTTCAAGTTGGGACTCCTACTCCCAATCCTCTTCCTCAAGCCCCATCAAGAATTCGGGGTCACATGCAAAACTGGTTCGGGAATGCTGTTGAACTCTCTGACGCTGTCTTGGTACTCTCTTGGATCGTCTTCGTGTCCTCTTGGCTGCCCCTGAAACCATGGTAAACATCGAGATCCCATGATCCCATGAGTGGAAGCAATGGGATGCTATAATTCTTTTGTTCAAACACACCCCCTGCTCATTTTTGCACGAAGACCCCGAGGGGCATCCCAACAGACCGTGGCCTGCATGCAGAAAACGTCTAACCCACAGCCCAGGCACTACAAGTTGAAAAAAGGGAAATTCCACCATTCCGTTTTTTCCCCAAAGTTCGCCCCCTGTCTATTCTTGCACAACAGACCACAATTTAGGCCCCAGAAGAGAACCCAGGAAGCCTTCAAGGGCCCCAAATCTTTGAAGACCTAACGGCAATTCATGATTTGTGCGTTTCCGCAGTTCCCCTCCTGTACGATTTCGAGGCTTGCGCAGGGCATCCAAGGGAGCCCCCGGATGCGAGCAACGACAAGGATGATATTCAATGTGTTCGCCCATCAAGCCTAGCTAGATCTTGAGCGCGCAAGAAGCGCGCGATGGTTCCATGTATATTTCTCTTACTATATTTTTACAAGCCCGGGCGGGGGGAAAACCCGTCACCCCCCCCCCCAAAACCGGACTCCCGGGATCTGGGGCTTTGGGACCCTCCAGACGGGCCTCGAACCGGTCACCGGGCCTCACACGGCGTTTTGCCAAGCTTTCCCAGCACACCTAGGGCGATCAGGGGGGTCATCGGAGACGTCCCAGAGACCCCCAAGACAGCACAAGAGCGCTCCAAGAGTGACCGACGTGACCTCAAGATGGCCTAAGAGGCCACCAGGACGGCCCCAAAGAGGCCTCCAAGAGCACTCCCAAGCAGGCCCCCCGAGGCAACAATTATTGATTTTCTTTGGGTTTTTGGTGAATTTTAGGGTTCTCCTCTTTTCGGCTTCCCGACGCTCCAAGACGGCGGTCTTCTGGGCGTCCGAAGCCGCCTGGGAGGCTCCCAAATCGGCCCACAACCATCCGAAAGGGCTCCCAGGCAGTCCAAGAGAGCCCTAAAACGGCACAACACGGGTCCAAGATGGCCGTCAGAGAGCCTCATGGTGGCCCAAGATGGCCCAAAGACACCCTCCGAAGAATTCCAAATCGTGATTCGGTCGTTCAGTGAGACCGCGGTTGGAGGCAGGGTGGCCCGAGGAAGCCCCCGGAGTCTCCCAGAATACACCCAGGAGGTCTCCAGAAGGCCTTATTAAGAAAGCCTGAAACAACTTTTGTGAGGCCCCTAGAAGCTCTCCAAGGAGGAGCCTCCGCAGAAAAGAGCTGAGGAGGATGGGGATAATGCGCAGGGCGTGGCGAAAATAAGGAAACAGAAGCATGGAGGAAGGATAACGAATAACACTATTATAGTGGCGATGCCAGAAAAGGCAACCAGGAGTTATCGCTAAATTGTCGGCTTGACCTTCCTGCTATTCCGCCTGCGTACCAAACTTCAAGGACCAAGGTGCATGGCGCGAAGCGCCACTGCAGTCTTGTGTGTATATATATATATATATATATATATTTATCCACCGCTCACTGAGGCCCCAGGGCGTTGGTTCCCGGGCGGTGGATCTGGATACGTCCCCGCCTTGCGCTGCCCTGGGCGGCGGGCGTCGACCCCCACAGTCATTCATATGCATCGCCCATCGGGGCCTGGGTGCCCCACCCAGCCCAGGGACGTGCGGTGCTGCTGTCGAGGGCCCGTTGCCGATCCATCCGCGATCAAACGCAAGTCTTGTGACGTTCCAACCTGCATTGGCCTTGATCACCAGAAAGAGCTTCGAGCACCACGAACGTACTGAACCTGGAGGGTTTCCACGCGTCGGGCTCTGGGAGGCGATACTCGTTCGACACGGTTTCGATCCTTCGCCTGGGTGCTCGGAACTATTTCTGGGATGTGGGCCTGGAGCATGATGGGGACAACGTAACGCAAGTCTTTGGGTTGCCCATCACCCCGAAATGGTAGTGTTTGTGGGCGCGCGCAGCGCGGCCCGCGGGGTCAACAAACAATTGCAGTCGCCAGCACCGGCGTCAACACTGAAATTGGGGGGCCGCGGGACGTCGCCATGTCGCGGGCAAAATTTGCGTTTGCTTTCGAGGAGGGATGTATCGCCGATTCCAGGTCGACGTTCCCCCCCCCCGAGCCTGCCCCGCCCCCCCCCCGCTTTCGGGTCCTCTTGTAGTCGCGACAGCGGCGGTCCTCACACTGGAGCAGAAGCTTTTGCACCGCGTGTCGACGCCCGTGTTGACCCCCCTCATTCGCAAGCGCATCCCCCCACCCCCCCGCAGGAGAGCGGCAGCAGCGGCCACGAGGAGGGGTGGCGGAGGCCGCGCTCGCCTTCTCGCCGCCCTCGCCGCTCGGCGTCGTCTCCGTCGTCGCCGCCGTCGTCGTCGTCGTCGTCGTCGCCGTCGTCGTCGTCGTCGTTGCCGCCGCCGTCGCCGCCGTCGCCGTCGCCGTCGTCGTCGCCGTCGCTGCCGTCGTCGTCGTCGGCGTCGGCGTCGGTGTTGTCGTCGTTCTCGTCGTCGTTGTCCTCATCCTGCTCCTCTCTCCCTTCCTCCGTTCCTGGCTCCACCGCTTCCTCCTCCGTCTTGTCTCCACGATTTCCTCTCCACATCCACTTCCACTTCCTCCTCCTCCTCGCCATGCTGCTCCTCTTTCCCTCATTATTGTGCTTTCCTACTCGCTTCCTGTCGCTGCTGCTCTCCTTCCTCTCGTCCTCGTTTCTGTTGTGGCGCGCTCATACTTGTTTGTTCCTCTGTGCCCTCGCCCTTCTCTTGTTATTATGCGTCATTTCATAGTCGTCCTCCTCCGCTCCCTGTCCTCATTCTAGTCCTCTGCATCTTCGTCTTCCTCCTTCTTACATGTTTCCTGTTGCTTATACGTAAGGCTGTCCCTGCACAACGGCTCTATGGGGGACCTCTTGACAATGCTGAACGGGGAGGACCCCCTCAAGGTGGGTCCGTTGTTGAGGGGAGGGCATTGAGGAGCGCGAGGAGGTAGGTGGAGGGGGGAGGAGAAGCAGGTGGGGGAGGGATGAGAGAAGGGGGAGAGGAGGAGAAGGAGACGCAAGGAGGGAAGAAGGGAGGGCGAGGAGGAGGAGGAGGCCGAAGAGGAGGTGGAGGAGCAGATCGGTATCTTGGGACCTGGGGTGCGCGTAAGGAGGAGGAGGAGATGGAGGAGGTTGCCGAGGAGGGGGAGGAACGATGGGATGAACAGCAGCAGGAGGTGGACAGGCTGGTAGAAGCAGGAGGACCCTGCCAAGGTGTTCATCGTACGGGGGATCGATTCCCTGGGCGTCGACTCCCACGAGATCCTAGCGTCGCACTACTGGGACTTCGGTAGCATCGAGAGGGTCCGTCCTCCTCTCTCCCTCTTACGCAGTGGCCACCACAACTCCTTCTCTGTAGCCGTTGTCTGCTCAAAATTCGCCGCCAGTGGGCCGGCAGCACGGTGCTGCCGGGCTGAGTCTTACGACCGCCATCCCTTTCCATGTTCGGTGTTAAGCGGTTCACGGCCGAACCATGGTCGTGAGATTATGGATCAGGAGGGAACAAACACACAGACACCTAATCGCCAATCCCCAGGAAATATGGAAAATATGGGAACTGGATGGGAAGACGAGCATCCCGAATTGATCGAACATATATGTTTTCCTGGGATGTACTACTATTGATTTCGTCCACGCGCAGAGGGGGTAGCGGGAGGGGGAGAAGGCTTCGTAGAAGTACCCTTGCTGCTTAGAAGGCGCGGGTCTTGTCAGCAGATGTAAGGCCCGCGCCTTCTGAGAAGCAGCCTTCTTCCAAGAAGCCTTGCCCCCTCCCCCTAACCCCCCGTGCGCGCCGCCAATCATTTGTGTGCCCCCGGGCCCCTTTTTAGTGGGCCAGGAGCACACGGGCCCCGTCGCCAAATGGCCCACGCCTCTCCACGGCGAAGGCCCAGAGGAGGAAAAGCACGCTCTCAGGCGGAGAGCCCAGGCAGGAGGAGCAGAAGGGCACCCCCTCGACGACCGGGGCTGCTCTTGACCCGTCGTGTGGGCCGTGCAGCTCTCTTCGGCTTTTCCTTGCCGAGTTCAGTCCAATGGGGTGAGCAGTTTACAACACACACACGCGCCGATCGCTGGAAGTCGCCTTCCTGCTGTTTTAGCCGCCTTTCTACTTCAAGGGTCGAGTGCTTGTCCCTCCTCCCTCCTCTTCAGGGCGCGGGCGAAAGCCCAATCTGTTCCCAACGCCATCCTACTTGACGTTTCTACCGACTTCTTCCGACCGACGGGTATGGTGGGCAGTTTACGACAGCTGCATTGCCGTCTCCAAGCGCATCTCTGAGGCGGGCCTCCCTGGGTGAGCTTGCGCGCAGCGCTCCATGTTTGTCGTGTCATTCGGCGAGCTCAGATGAGGAGTGGAGTTTTCACCATATCGCTGCGCGATCAGGCAGGGTCTACAGAGTCTCTTCCTTCCTGACCATGGGCTCCCGTGGTGCTGGGAGCTTCTGATCCCCATGCGCCTTGCGCGAGGGTAGTCTGTTGTTTGATTCACCCGTAAGCGTTCGCAACTGCCGTGGAGGCATGCTCTTGCAAAGCCCGAGCTGCTACCAGCAAAAGCCCTTGCCCTCCTCCCCCCTGCCTCGTCTCTTGCCCCGCCCCCTCCTGCAAGCACACCGTACACATCAGTGCTCCCCGCCTCCTCTCCCCCGACGACGGCCTCAGAGAGTGGCGCGTCCCCCCCCCCCGCGTATTGTGCTTGTTGCACAGGATCGGTCCGAGCTCGGTTGTCTGACTTGTGCGTGTTCGTTCCCCATCCGAACCTCCCCTCGACGGGCCCCCCCGCTGCAGCGTCGGCATCAGTTCGGGATCGGCGCTCTGCTGCCGTCGTTCCAGACGGCGCCCTCGCCCAGGCCTGGGCCTCATCTCTGGACCTAGGCGTGCCCTATCAAGTGTTCGAACGGGTGGAAAGACATGCTCTTGTTCGGATGCTCAAACACGGTTCGTCCACGGTTCGGAACCATGTGTTCGCGAGGTCCAAGGCCCCCAAGGGATTCGTCCAATGCCGCCTGGTTGAGGGGAAAAAAGATGTCCAGAATGAGCAGAGTGTAAACGGTTCGGAAGCATGTGATCGCAAGCGATGGTGGGGTCAGTCCTAGTTCCGCATCCGAGTGTTTCTTTCTTATTGTTGCCCCCTTATTTTCCCTACCCAGCCTCTACCTTGTCCTGCTGCTCCTCCCGCTCGTCCTGCTCCTGCTGCCGCGGTCCCTCCTCGTCCTCCTTCCTCCTCATCCTCATGCTCGTCCGCCACCTTTCTTCTTCTCTTTCTTCTTCTTCTTCAATGTGCACAGATCCCACCTGGCAGATCGCGGGTAATTCGAAGTGGTCCTTTCGAATTCAGGTCCGCTACGACACCCGATGGTGGATAGAGAAAAATCGACACAATGGCAAAGCATGTGAGTGAGGGTAGGATGTCAGATGTGGCGCTAGCGCACCTACGGTAGGTTCATGCGGCGATGGCGCGCCGGCGCCATTGGCGAGGGCGTTCAAGGTTGAATTCTACGACGCGGAAGCACCGAGGGACGCGGTGACGCCCCTGGACCCGACTGGCTTCCAGCCTTGCACGATCGGGACCGCGATCGGTTCAAGGGGTGAACGATCGACGCGGCGCCAAACAAACATATACTTCTGCGCGGGCCGGCGCCGCGCGAACTTGCCGTAGCCTGTCCCCTCCACTCTCCTCCCTCTCCTCCTTCCCACCGGGTCGACCTAAACAGTGTTTTGGCGATTTCGTGGGCCGCTTTCGTTACGATCTCGTTTCGCAGCAAAGGCGGCCTGAAGGCAAAACGAGGGACAACGAAAACAGTTCGAAAACGGAAAACACGTTTAAGGTCGATCCTTGTTCCCTCCCTCCTCCCTGGGGCCTCGAGGTGCTGGTCCCCCACTCGAAGGTCACGGCCAAGCTGTACCGCAGCGAGAAGACGGTGACCCGGTCGCGGGTCCGTCCCGGGAGCGAGGGGGTGGGATGATTTTCGGAGTGGGTCGGACGGGGCTAGGAGCTAGGACGAGGGTACATCCGTTCCAGAGCGTTCCAGAACGCTCTCAGAGCGTTCCGGAACGCAGAGAGAAGACCGCGGCGCCCGAGGCATTTTCTAGAGCCGCCACATCGCAGGGATCATCGATTTACCCTCACCCAATTTAATTTCAATCTTGGCTTCGTCTTAGGGGGGACGATTTTCGGAGGGGGGGGAAAGGTACCCATGCTTCGCCGTGCGGCGGGGGACAATGCGAACGGGGCCAGCCAGGGCGGCGCCGTCTTTTGCACGTTCCTGCAACGCCAAGGCTGCACTGACCCGGGCTTGCGTGCAGGACCTTGCAGGATCTTGCAGGATTCTGCAAAGCCTGACTGACCCAGGTTTGCATGGATCCGGGTCTGTAGAAGACCAGTGATTTGTGGGACGCCGTCAGGTGGGCAATTTCTGGTTGACTTAAAAGGGGTCCAGCTGAAAGGGGGTGGTGCAACAGATTCGGTGCAATAGATCTGTGGGGCAAAATATTTGGGGCGTGCAATACATTGCGTTGCGCAGATGTGCTGCTGGATTTTCACGCGCAATACATTTCTGAAATGCAATGTACTGTAATTCTCTTGCGCAATACATTTGCAATTATATTGCCCCACATCTCTGTTGCACCACCCCCTTGCAGCCTGATCTCCTTTTTGTTTTGATATTTCTCCCAACCATCCTGTGGTGTGGGGTCCTCGTTTGTGAACAGTCCCCGCGTCCCGCTCCTCCTCCCCCCTCCTCCCTCCTCCCTCTCCTTGCCTCTGCTGTGCTCGTCGCTATCGCCATCATCGTCATCATCATCCTCATCACCATCAGCAGCTGACTCCGCATCAGCATCAGCATCAGCATAAGAATCATCAGCATCACCACCACCATCACCACTATCATCCTCCTCACCCTCCTCATCACCACCAACGTCATCATCACCACCATCACCATCACCATCATCATCATCATCATCATCATCATCATCATCATCATCATCAGCATCATCAGCAGCAGCAGCATCTTCAACATCATTTTCATCATCATCACGCTCCTCACACACATCGTACGCTTCGTGGCTCCAAAAGGAGCTTTACCGACGGCCCCAGCGGCAGGGTCCGCATGGCGTACCCGCGCCCGATTCGGCAGACCCCTCACAAGTTTCGAGGCCCCACGGGGAGCTCCACCGACTGCCCCAGCGGCAGGGTCCACATGGCGTACCCGCACCCGGTCCGCCACACCTCTCACACGTTTCGTGGCCACATGGGGAGCTCCTTCGACGGCCAGAGCAGGGTCCGCATGGAGCACACGCACCCGTTTCAGCACACCCCTCACGTTTCAGGGCCGCGAAGGGAACTCTACTAAAGGCCCCAGCGGCAGGGTCCGCATGGTGAGCCCGCACCCGATTCGGCACACCCCTCACACGTCTCGTGGCCCCATAGGGAGCTCCACCCAAGGCTTGCCCCCATACGGAGCTCCACCCAAGGCCCCAGCGGCGGTGTTCGCATGGCGTACCCGTGTCCAATTCGGCACACCCTTCATACGCTTCGTGGCCCCATATACGTAGGGAGCTCCACCGAAGGGCCCCAGCGGCAAGGTCCGCATGGCGCACCCGCCCCATGTTGGCACACCCCTCACTCCTCACCCAGTGTTTTTTCTCACTTGCCTCGCGGTACCCACGGCGTCATACGGGTGGGCCCTTCGCTCGGATAATTATGTGTCTGGGGGACCTCGTGGGGGGTACGTTTGTACGGCTTTATTCTGGTCTGAACGCCGACCTGGATTGGACTGCGGGAGGACGAGGAAGAGGATGGAGGAGGAGGAGGGAGGATGGAGAAGGCAGATGGGAGGTGGAGAAGCAGGCGGACGAGGAGGAGGAGAGGCAGGGGAGGAGGAGGAGGGAGGGGCGGGAGGATGGAGGATGATGAGGAGGAGAATCAGCGAGCAGCAGCAGCAGCAGCAGCAGCAGCAGCAGCACGGGGTGGCAGGAGCATGGGGTTCGTCGTCATGTCCGACAGCAAGAGCGTCGAGCGCATCCTGCAGGCCGGCGGGCAGCAGGTGGTGGCCGGGAAGTGCATCCGCGTGGAGCCCTTCAGGAATTGAGGACAACAACAAATCCCTACACAAACAAACGTTCGGAGGGTCGCGCGGATTTCTTGGGTCCGGCGCCCGGCGCCAAGCAACAGGGGTATCTTAGAACTCATTCGCGCGGCGCGTATACTTCGCGATTTCGTTCGCAAGCCCCAGCTCTTGAACGAGGTCTAAGGGCGCCGATCTGGCTCGATCCGCGGCGGCCAAATGTTTCCTGAGGCATCCCTGGAAGAGGAACGCATTCTTCCCGTCGGCGGCGAGGCGGGGCAATCCGCACCAGCGAAAGAGCGAAACAGGGACACGACTAAGCTAATTGTCTGGCGTGCAAGAGCGGAAGGAGGACAAAGGGGCCGCGGGCAAGGGAACACAACATAAGCATTAATTTTCAGAGCTCCGCGCTGATCTCTCGAGTCGGCGCGGGCCCCCCCTGGCGGCGCCCCCGGCGCCGCCCTTGGCGCGCTCCGCGCGCCAGGGGAGGCGTGTCCAGCGCAGATCCAAGAAGTCCGCGCGGACCTCCGAAAGCGCATGCTTCTGCAATGTCGAAGACGCCTACGGCGAGTCACCGCCGCCCCATGCTTTTTGGAATCGCCCATGTGGCCGAACGTTGTGGCCAGAGCTCTACCAAGCTATCCGACTATGTGTTCCCCCAGCCGTTGTGGAAACCCTCCGGGGAACACGCAGGGGAGATTGAAGAGGCGGAGGAAAGGGAGGACAAAAAGAGAGGAGGAGGATAAAAGGGCATGTGTTTCCCACAGCCGTTGTGGAAACCCTTCTGGGAGCACGCGGGGTAGAAGAAAGAAGCGGAGGACAGGGAGGACAGATTGAGAGGAGGATGAGGAGGAGGAGGAGAAGGAGGAGGAGGAGGAGGAGGAGGCGGACGAGGCGGCGGAACAGACTGAGGAGGAGGAGGAGGAGGAGGAGGACTCTTGGGGCCTTCTGGGAGTTTCTTCTTGTGGGCCTCTCGGAGGCCTCCTGGAAGCATCTGTGCGCCCTCGTTTGGGCCTTTGGGGGCTTCTTTGGGGTCCCTTTGGCCGTCTTAGGGCGTTCCTGGCCCGTCAGACGCCGTCAGAAGCCGTCCAGGGGGCCTCTCTGGACCGACTTCGGACCCTTTTGGGGCACTTCAGGGCCGCCTTTGAGGCCACAATGGGCGTTTTGGAGACCTCTTGGGCCGTCTTGGGGCCCTCTTGGGTCGTCTTCGAGGTTTCTTGGGCCGTCATGGGGTCATATTGGAGGCCTTTGGAGTCATCTTTGGCGATCCCGGGGTCCTCTGGGGCCGTCTTGGGGTGCCGGAAGGCCGAAAAGAAACAAAGAGCAACATCTGCCAAACACCTACACCAAATCAATAATTTGGGCCCCTTCGGGCCCTCCTGGAGGACCTCTTGGATGACTGTTGAGCCGTCCTGGTGCCATCTTGGGCCGTCTTGGGTGCATCTTGGGGCCATGTCGGTATCGCTTGGGGCCATCCTGGCCGTCTGTCAGGCATCGTGGAGGCCATCTTGAGACATCTTGACCGACGGAGATGCCATCTTGAGCCGTCTTGGGGGTTCTTTGTGGACGCTGATGCTGTTTGTTGTTTGCGGCCCTTTCGGGCGGCAGGCGCGCTGGGCCGAAGCCCCACGGGGAGAAGATCTCTACCTGTATAGGATTCAGCACGCCGTGCACCCCTGTGATGCATAACGGAAAGAGCGAGGTACGAGTGATGACGTTCTGGTGTGGGGCGAAGCCTTTAAGGGGGGGGGGGTCCAGGGGGGGGGGGGTAGGGGGAGCGGATGGGCTCTAATGGACGTTTTCGGGTTTTCCATATGGTTTTTGAATGTTTTTCGGGTTCCCCCCAAGACGGCCCCAGAGCGCTCCAAGAGCCCAAGAGGCCCCCAAAACGGCCCAAGAGGGCGCCAAGACGGCCCAAGAGGCGCCCAAGACGGGCCAAGAGGGCCCCAAGAGGGGGACCACGAATTGAAACGTCTGGCGTTTCGCCCCAAGAAGCTCCCAGGAGGCCCCCAGAGCCCCCCAAGAAGCCCCAAGAGGCCTCCAAAAGGGCCCGACAAGGGCCGCAATAGGACTTCCAAGGAGGCCCAGAGACGCAAAATAAAGAGCGATCGGTAACGCAAAAAGCTTTTCACACCAAGGCTCCCAAGAGCGAACGGTGACGTAAACAAGCTGATAAGACCAATGCTCCCAGCAGAGAGCGATGACGTAACAAGTTCCTGACACCAAGGCCCAGCCAAGGCTCAGGAACGGGCGGCAACCCAACAATCTCTGAACACCAAGGCTCCCACGAGCGAGAGGTGACGTAACAAGCTCTCAACGCAAAGGCTCCCAGTACGAACGGTGGTGAGAGTAATTTCGGTTTCTGTTTCTGGCGCGCGCTTTCCGTTTCTGTGCCTGGCCAGGTCATCCGGGGGCGCCGGGTTTAGTGGCCTTCTGCCCATCCCGCCTCCGTGCGTGGGTTGTGGTCAGAGTGCTCGGGAATGCTTCTTGAGGTCTCTTCGGAACGCTCTTGGAGCCTTCTATGAGCAGGTTTGGGGCCCCTTGGGGGCTTCCTGGGGCCTCCTCGAGGCCTCTTTGAGGCCCCTCGGGGCCGAGGACTCGAAATGTCCATTCGGGTCCCCCATCTGGGCTCTCTCTTGGGGCCGTCATTTGGGGCTCCTGGGCCGACTTGGGCGCCTCTTGGGCTGTCTTGGGGCTCTCTTGGGCCGTTGTGGGTCCCTCTTAGAGACCTCTTGGGCCCTCTTGGGGCGATCTTGGGGGCCTCCAGGGCTGCCTGGAAGCATCAGGAAGCCGAAAAGGCGGGAACGGCAAAAACGTGCAAACAACCTAATCGTAATTCATGGTTTTGGCATCTTTGGGCCATCTTGGGAGGCCTCTTGGAGGCCTCTTGGGGCGTCTTGGAGGCCTCCTGGGTCGTCTTAGGGCCATCTTGAGCGTCTTGGGGCGACCGTTCGGCGACGCTTGGCCCTCTTGGACCGTTTTGGGGGTGGGGGGCCTCTTGGGGCCCTCTAGGCCCGTCCTTGGGCCCTCTTGGAGCCGAAAAAGTTGCGCGAGAAGACGAGACAAGCCCCCGACAAGACGCGCCAAGCTCCGCCCAATCTGGCAATTTGATTTGGGCTCTGGGCCCCTTGCAGAGCCCTCAGGAGTGAGGATTGAGGCTTAGAGGACTGGGCCAAGGATCCTATAGGACACGCCCACTCCGGGCAGCTGCTCTAGGAGGAGGTCCCCTGTCCCTCGTCGGTGCGCGGCTCTTCGGCCGCGGCCTTCATGAGTCCGTGACCCGTCTTTCCGTTCTCACGCGTTCCGCTCCAGGGGCAGGGCCACCTGGACGCCTGCCTCTCCTCATGCATCGACGCGCGCACTCTTTGTGCCCAGGGGCACTGCGTCGGACTTTGCTCCTCCGACCCCGCTGGCCCCGCTCCTGGCTCGGGTCGGGCGACGGGGGTCGCAGGCGATTTTGCCCCCAACCCCCCCGACTCTTCGACGAACAATGAAGCCGTTTGGCCGCGGGAGCTCGCGCCTCGGGAATGCAGCTGGTCGACCTCGTGGCATATTGCCTTCAAAACGTGGGCAGCAACTTGGGCGGCCTCGAGCTGGGCAATTCGCTCAACAGCCATGCCAACACGTAGAGCACTGGGTCTGGGGGGGGGCTCGAACCCTGGGGTATACCCCTAGGGGGCTATTCGGACGCACCCCTATCGAGGTGATGCCCCCTCGTCGTATATCCCAGGGCTGGGCCCCACATTGCCAGTCCATCCGGAAACCTCCCAAAGCATGGGCTACGAGTCGACATAGCCCCATGAAGGGGATGGGGGCCGGGGGCAAGGGGTGGGCCACGACATTTGCTGCGTTGGCCTTCTTTTTCGGACCCGCCGCCTGACGCTCTCCTCGCTCGCTATACGTTCGCTATTTGCACCAGGAGGCGTGGGGAAGACCTCGGAGGCGACGGGGCGAATAGCCCAAGGGCGCGCATTACACGTACGTGTTTGCCCTGGAGCCTCCCCGAAGACATGGACCAGCGGCGCAACTGGATGCATGCATGGTCTCCCCTGGGCTATTCGCCCTTATCGTCGCACCCGATACTTGCGCTCTGGGCGTGGGGAAAACCGGCGGCGTGGGCCGATCCGGTCCCCCTTCAGAGTGCTGTCCCCCCAGAGTTCTGGCGTCGTGATCTGTTCACACCACGGACCCCAGTGGTCTGGACCTCTTCCCTGGGCAATTTTTTTTCATCCTGAGCGCTTTCTGACGGCCCCAGAGGCTGGCCAGAGCCCCTGGATCGGGGCTCACGCAAAGGCGGTGGGCGCTTGATGCGTTCAAATGTTACGATTTCCAGGGCTTACAGGGTTCATAGTGTTCACACGGGCTGCAGAAATGAGGTTCCTATCGAAGACGGGTGAAAGCCAGAACCTGGAAATCTGGAGCCCAAACCCTAGGATGTCCAATTCATCCCAGAAATTTGTATCCAGAACCCAGGAACAATCCCAGCCAAAACTTGGCAAATCTGAGGCAAACTCGGCATGTCCGCAAACTTGGAAATGCCCAACGGCCAACCCAGAAATAGCCAACGACAAGCCAGGAAATTCGATTAATTCGGGGGAGGAGTGGCAGAAGAGGAGGCGGCGGTGAGAGAGGAGGAGTGGCAGGAGAGAGAGGGAGAAGGTTGTTCTGGCTAATCGGAGGGTTTGTTTTAGCCCCTCGGGTAGTTTGTGTTCGCCTCCCTGGAGCTGTTGTGCTAGCGTGTCGGAGGATTTGTTTTAGCCCCTGGGAGGGTTTGCTTCAGCCTCTCGGAGGGTGTGTTTTAGCGCTTCGGAGGGGCCCTCGGAGTTTTGTTTTAGGCAATCTGAGGGTTTGCTTTAGCGCCTCGGAGTGTTTGTGTTTAGCCCCCTCGGAGGGTTCGTGTGAGCCCCTCGGAGGGTTTGTTTTAGCGCCTCGGAGAGTTTATTGCGCTGGCCTTACGGCTGTGCAGCCGACCCTGGAGGCATCGGCTCTCGAGGGAAACGGGGGGGAGAGGGCGGGGAGGAGGAGGAGACGGAGGAGTGAAGGAGCCCAAGGACAGAATTTAACACCAGAGTGGCGTGTTAAATTCTGTCATCGTGTCGTCGTCGGCGTCGGCGTCGACGTCGACGTCGTCGACGTCGCACCCGTCGTCGTTGTCGTCGTCCTTGTCGTCGCCGTCGGCACCGGGGCCTCCAGGACAGAATTTAACACGAGAGTGGCGTGTTAAATTCTGTCCTCGTGTCGGCGTCGTCGTCGTCGTCGTCGTCGGCGTCGGCACGAGGACCCCCAGGATAGAATTTAACACGAGAGTGGCGTGTTAAATTCTGTCCTCGTGTTGTCGTCGTCGTCCGCGTCGTCGGCACAAGGACCCCGAGGACAGAATATAACCCGAGAGTGGCGTGTTAAATTCTGTCCTCGTGTCGTCGTCGTCGTCGTCGTCCGTCGTCCTCGTCGTCGTCGTCGTCGCACCCGTCGTCGCGACGACGACGCGTCGTCCTTGTCGTTGTCGTCGGCACAAGGACCCGAAGGACAGAATTTAACATGAGAGTGGCGTGTGAATTTCGTTTCGTCGTCCGTGGTCGTCGTCGTCGTCGTCGTCGTCGACGTCGCACGCTTCGTCGTCGCCCTCGGCGTCATCGTCGTCGTCGTCGTCGTCGGCACAAGGACCAGAAGGACAGAATTTAACACGAGAGTGGCGTGTTAAATTCTGTCCTCGAGTCGTCGTTGTCGTCGTCGTCGTCGTCGACGTCGACGTCGTGGACGTCGCACTCGTCGTCGTCGTCGTCCTTGTCGTCGCGTCGGCACTAGGGCCCCAAGGACAGAACTTACCACGAGAGTGGCGTTTTAAATTCTGTCCTCGTGTCGGCGTCGTCGTCGTCGTCGACGTCGCACGCGTCGTCGTCGTCGTCCTCGTCGTCGTCGCCGTCGGCACAAAGACCCGAAGGACAGAATTTAACACGAGAGTGGCGTGTTAATTTGAGATGCCTCTTGGAACGTCTGATGGGCATCTCAGGTGCCTCTGTCCCTCGCTACCCCCCTGGCTACCCCGCCTCGCTACCCCCTCCCGGGACCCCCCCGCCCCCTCGCGCGGGGAAGGGAAGAAAGGGAAGGGGCTTGCCTTTGATTCAGAGGCGACATTGCGAATCCGGGACGGCGATGTATCTGACCGAGAAGCCCCAGGAGGGCGGCGTATTTGACCCAGGACCCCCCTCGCTAACCCCCCTCGCTACCCCCCCTCGCTACCCCTCTGGAACCCCCCCCCCGCGCGGGGAAGGAAAGAAAGGGAAGGGTGTTCCCTCTGACCGAGGATCCCCAGGAGGGCGGCGTATCTGACCCAGGACCCCCCTCGCTACCCCCCCCCCCCCTCGCTACCCTCCCCCGGGACCCCCCCCCCTCCCCCCGCGCGGGGAAGGGAAGAAAGGGAAGGGGTTTCCCTTTGATTCAGAGACGACGAGGAAAAGGAACGGGACCCCCCCCTTCCTCGCGCGGGGAAGGGAAGAAAGGGAAGGGGCTTCCCTTTGATTCAGAGACGACGAGGAAAAGGAAAGGGCAAACAGCGACGACGCTGCAGGGAAACGGGACAAAAGAACGACGAGGAAGAAGCAGCAAACAACAAAGCCTCGTCCACACGCCGACAGGGTCGGCCCCTCGGAGGGTTTGTTTTAGCGCCCCGGAGAGTTTATTCCCCAATCAGAGCTTGCCTCTGTAGGGTTCCTAGCGGATTCATATGGTTAGGTGAGGTTTGTCGCCGATTTTCGCTGCACGCCCGGGTGCACGGGGTGCCTGGGGCCCGGGTGCCCAGGGGGTGCCCGGGGGTGCCCGGGGGTGCCCGGGTGCCCGGGTGCCCGGGTGCCCGGGCGTGCTTGGGGGTGCCTGGGGGTGTATATAGCCCGATAGCCCTGAGCCATATAGCCCTATAGCCCTACAACTCTATAGCCATATAGCTCTATAGCCCAACAGCCCTACAGCCCTAGCCCTATAGTCCTGATTGGGGTTTTTCTCCGGTATCATTTCAGCCCGTCGGAGGGTTTGTTTTTGCCTCTCAGGGTTGTGTGTGTGTTTTTGTTGCGTCGAACGGTTTGCCTTTGCTCCTCGGGGGATTTGTTCTAGCCCCAAGGAGGGTTTGTTTCAGCCCCTCGTTATTGAAGTGTTGCGTTGCCGGTTTTGTGGCAGCGAGACGGCCTCTGGAGGCCGAACACGTTGCAAACGCACATGTTGTCCGTTGTGCGTCGCCCAGCTCCCGAGGTGAGGTTCTCGGACCTCATTTCGCTTTCCTCTCCGTCTCAAGCGCCGCCGCGCTGGGCCTCGGTGCCTCTGTCTGAAGCGCTGGAGGAGCTCGGGAGGGAGGTCCAGCGGGGGGCCAGGGAGGAGGAGGAGGAGGAGGAGGAGGAGGAGGAGGAGGAGGAGGAGGAGAAGGAGGAGGATGAGGAGAAGTAGTCTTCAATGTTTTACCGGTGTTTGCCGTAGATTGTTGTGATCTCGTTTTCGGGAATTCCTTGGTTTGTGTTGGCCCAATTCCCCATTTCCCGGTTTGCTTGCAACATTTCCCGGTACTGGATTCGAAATTACAAATTTCTGGCCCCCAGTTGTTTTGAGATTTGGCGTCGGAATTTGCAGGTTTCAGTTCCTGCAAGATATTCGGCTATGTGTTTCCCCAGCCGTTGTGGACCCGTCTTGAGGCTTCTTGGGGGCTTCCTGGGAGCCTCTCGGGGATCTCTGAGGGGCCTCTCGGGGGCCTCCTGGGGCCTCTTTGGAGCCCATTGGGCGCCTCTGGGGGCCTCTACGGGACCTCTTGGCCTTTGGAGTCTTGAGGGCCTCTCTAGGCAGTCGTGGGTCCCTTTTTGAGCTCTTCAGGGCAGTTTTGGGGGCCTCTTGGGTCGTCTTGGGGCCCTTTTGGGCCGTCTTGCGAGCCCCTTTGGGGCCTTTGGGGTTTGGGCGATCTTGGGGGCATATGGAGCCTTCTAGGAGCAACGGAAGCCAGAAATGCGAAAATCGTAAAATCATCGAATCAGCTGTGCGGGTTTTGGCTTTCTGGAGGTCCTCTGGGGGAGTCTTTTTGGAGCGTCTCCGGGCCTCTTGGACCGTGTGGAGGGCATCTTGGGCCGTCTTGGGACCATCTTGGCCGTCTCGGAGGCGTCTTGGGGCAGTCTTCGAGGGCATCTTGGGGCCATCTGGGCCGTCTTCGAGGCCATCTCGGCCGTCTTGGAGAGTCGTTGCGGACTTTTTTCGCGACTCTCCGGGTTTGGGGAACCTCTAGCGCTGACACATTCGTCATGCCAGGTACTTGTTTGGTACATCGCGAATGTGCGGCAGATCTAGTGGCCTTCTTCGGCTTGGGTTGTAGGTCGGATGGCTGCCTACTGCAAAGCTCGCCTGGCGCGCGCCGACACACCTCAGGCCCCCCCAGAGATTTTGGCAGAGGGGGGCCGAACCCATTAGAATCCTAAAACCCGAGAGGCCCTGCACGACGCGCAACCGCAGGCACCCCACGACGCTCTTCAATTGTTCAAGTCACGGTGCCGGGGCCTTACTCTGGAATTCCTGGAACGCCGTCCCACGGAAGGTCTGTGCTCGTGCGTTCTTTGTCGTTGCTGCCCCCCTCCGAGGATGCCCGCCCCGAGCACGACCGTCAGCACCTCCGTGGGCTCCACGTCCATCAGCGGCCCCTCCTCCTCGAACCAGTCGAGGTCGGGCCCCGCGCTCCTCCTCCTCCTCCTCCTCCTCCTCCTCCTCCTCCTCCTCCTCCTCCTCCTCCTCCTCCTCCTCCTCCTCGTTCCTCGCCCCCTCCCCCCCCCCGAGTGATAAGGACCGGATAATCTGATCGAGTGGCGAGCGAGGGAGGGGAAGTGAGACGGAGAAGGCTGTCTCAGGAGGCGGCGGGTTTTCTCAGACGCCCTCGCGCCCTTGAGAAGTGCTCGGCGTCTTCGGGGAAGGCTTTGAACACTTCTCAGAAGTCAGAAGACCTGGGGGACCTCCGAGCCTTCTGAGAAGGCCCGCCCCTTCTCACTTCCCCCCCTCGTCGGTCGCCGCCGATTCTTGGGCAAGCCACGGGCGCACGCAGGTGTGAGGCTTCAACCTGCTCGTTATCATCTTCCTCCCGCCTCCCCCCCCGCTGTGCCTCCCGCTCCCTCTCGCCCGCCCTCGCGTGTCCTGGTCGAGCAAGGTCGGAGCAGGTTGAGGATGGGGAGGTGGAGAAGCATTGCCTCTTCCTCCTCTTTCTCGTCCCCCTTCTCTTCCTCCACCGCGTCCGCCGCCTCCTCCTCCTCCTTTCCCCGGGCAAACTGAAATAGATGTGTCGTTCTGTTGTAGTCGCGTATGGGATGGCTGTGCTGACTCGTAGGGTGCATCCGAGCTTGGATGAGTGTTGAGGCGCACTGAACTGCAGGAAAGTGTCTGCTGTACTATATTCGCACTTTGTTGCGGTCTCGTGTATCCCCATGAGGTGAGACTGCTGCAGAAGTGTCTGTGCTCCTAAGGGCTGTCCTCGAGTCATGTGGTACAGAGTGTATCGAGCATGAAGCTGATGTCCGTCGCTGGTAGCATCCACATTCGCTCGTTGGGCATTGTAAGGACCCAGCTTGCAGTGAACTGTCGTGGTGCTAGGGTCGTCTGTCACACTTGCTTGCCGTGGTCGCTGTTGCTGCGTGTTGTTCTGAGTCGCATTGGTGGCAAGTGCTGTTTGCTGTGCTGAAGGATGCGTTTGGTAGTGGAAGCCGTCCATCTGTATTATAGGGTATTCCCGGTGAGTAGTTCAGTAGATTCGTCGGTAGTCTGCTCATAGTGGTCTCGCTGCGGGAACCAGGACTCCGCAGCCGTTGTAAGTCCAGTGTGTGCTGTTGTGCACGGCGACATGCGCTTTTGCAAGTGTGTCAGCTAGTTTGGTCCATGGGTGGTCGTCTTGGTTTTGATGTTGCGCATTCTAAGGCGATGTGTCCTTCGGGTATGTTGGTGTCGTGCTTGAGCTGTCCTTGTGATGGGGTCATCGCTGTTTGCGTATTTTGTCAGCACTTAGACAGGGATAGTTGAGTCTGTGTGTGTATGTTTGTGGACGTGTGGATCCCGCTGCGTGCCGTAGATGGTGGCCCAGGCGACGGCGCCCAGCTCCACGTTGGTGCTGTCGAGGCTGTCGTAGTCAATGCCGTTATTAGTGATGTGTGAAGTGCTGCCCGTGCAATATCCGTGAAGACGCGGCATTCGCTCGCCGTAGAGTACGACAGCGACAGTTGATGTTGAGTCAGATTTTGCCTTGTGAATTGAGACGTCAGTTTCAATCAAGAGTGAGGTGAGATTATCTCCAGGGTGGTTGTACATATGTAGCGTTGCTTGCGTAGCTGGGTACGAGTTAATGGGCGTTGCTTGCGTAGCTAGCATATGTAGCGTTGCCTGCGTAGCTGGGTCATGCTGGGGTTGTATGCGTCTGCTGGATTTGTGAAAGGCGGTGCGCAGTGTTGCGGGATGCCTTACCGTAGGTGAAGGGTAATGTTGAGGACTGGTTGCGGTAGGGGGTTCTGCGTCGCTTGTTTGGCGGTGCCATCTGTTCTAGTGATGTGTACACATCGTCTGGTCTCTTGTGGAACAAGGTGCGGGACATTCCGTAAACCAAATGGTGAAGCCGTGTTTGCCGCTTGGGTCTGATCAAGCGGAGATGTCGCGGTGAAGAGAACATTGTTTGTTCTGGTTGAGTGGGACGACGCCCCAAGCGCATCTGCATTCAATTGTGCTGCCATTGCGGCTAAGTCGTCTGCTAGTTTTGGAGCGTTAGTGCCCTTGTGTTTGGTAGTGGCGCTGCTGCTGTGGCCTCCTTGGTTTCTACCGCTGCTGATGCATGTTGTGGTGCATGCCCAGGTGGCGAGTGGGAGGCTTGCGGCCGATCGCTGGGACTCGACATGACGATGACCTTGACCTTGCGCTGTGCTGCTAGAGGTGGCACCTCGCCAAACTGTTGCAGCGCGTCGTGCTGCCTGGCTGTCGCCTTGTTGCTGTGGGGTGCTGAAGTACTGCGGTGCGTCACCTAATGGTAGTTAGTGCATGTCCGCTGTTGGACCACGTTTCGATGCCAGATGTTGTGGAGTGTGTGGCGATGTGGGTCTTCCAAGGTACATTTCAGTGAGTGTAAGTGGTATGACTTGCGATGGGTCAACTCGAACTGGTGATTCGCGTCTGTGCTCATGGTGCTGCTGATGTTCTTCTGGCGGGTCATCGAACAGTTGTAGTAGTATGCAGGTGGTGTTGTGCTGTGTAGGTGTGCCGTCATCCGCTGTTTCGCCGGTGACGACCTCCAGCTCTTGTTGTACTTAGTCGTCGACCTCCTTCTTCTGCTTGTTCTGGTTGTTCTGCTTGTTGTTGGAGTCGTAGCTGCTCTTCGCGATATTCGTCCTTTATGTGGATTGCGTCTTCGATGTCGTGGTCGAGTCTTTGTATTGGTTGTTGCTCTCCGTGTTGAAGTGCATTTTGTTGCCGATGTGTTTGGTTGTCCGTGGTTTGTCGTAGTAGTGCCGTCAGTTCGTCTTCGCGTTCGGTATGCCATGTCTCGGTCTGCATATGTGCCGTTTCGTAGGTGTTTGGTGTGTCATGTTGGTTGTGTGTGTTTGTGTCAGTCCCTGGTTGGTAGTGTTGTGCGGTACTGATGTGTTACTCGTAATGCTGGTTGGCTCTGTACAGTTGATCTGCTGCACTCGCCATGATGAGGTGCGCTGCTTCCTGGTTTTGGCATCTGCTTAGCAGGTCTCTATCTGCTTGTTGTAGGTGCTGCGCGGTCCTTGCTGCTTCGTGTGTTGCTGTGACCTCGCTGTCGAATGCGTCTTGTGCTTGTGTTCGCTGTTCGATGTAGAATGCATGCTGTTTGTTGTAGCTATCGGGCTGTAGTGCATGCCATTTGGCATGTTGTGCTTCCTGCTATACCCCTTGCTCTAAGTAGTGGATTCGTTGGTGTCGTCTGTCTTGCTGTACTTGTTGTTCTTGTTGCAACCGGTAGTGTTGATGAATTTGCTGTATAGTATACTGCATGTGGTCTTCGATGGCTTATTCCGCACGCTGTATTCTAGTCGAGTGTTGGTCGCGTGTGCCTTTGTGTTGTTGGTTCTCGTAGCTCTTGGCGTAGTGATGCAATAGTAGCTGCAGTCTGCGTCCGTAGGCGGTGTTGAGAGAGATGGGTGGTGGTGTAGTAATTACGTTTGCCTTGTAGGTTTTTGAGCTCCAGGTGGCAGTGCACAGCTTGCGCTGAAATATACTCTAGTTGGTGGTGCACTTGTTCATTCTGCCTGACAGTCTTGTCTCTGTTGCGTAGTGCTGCATGTTCTTTTCTTAGTGCCGCTTCAGTATGTGCATGTAGTTGTAGCTCTGTCAGTCGAAATGTTTGGTTGAGCTCCTTGGCGTCGTGGAAGTTATTGGAGAGGTGGTCATGCGCCGCTTGTAGCTGATGTATGGTGTCTTCTGTGGTCCGTAGTCGTACTGCTCAGTTGTCTCTTGCTGTCGCCGTCTTGCTCTGCTGTGTGCCTCTGGACTCTAATGATCTTGTCGTTGTCCTTGGAACGGTCGTATGCTGACTGTAGCAGTACCTTGGAATCGGCGTGCTTCCCGATCGTCTTTTGGGTTGGGTTGGTGAGATGTGGCCGGCTGGAGTGTGTCTAGTGGAGGCCGATTCGTTGGGTATCTGCCGAGCTGTATGTTTTGTGTCCATGAGTATGGATTCGGTGTGTGCTGTCTATTGTCGGATAATTATTGTTCCAGGTTGGTGTATGTCTTGGTCTTGAAAGTGATGGTATTATGTGCTTGTTGTGTTTTTTGAGCGATGCCTCCGACATCTTGGCTCATGCTTCATAGTCGTCCTTGGGTCGGCGTTTAGACTGCAGTTGTTTCTGCTGGTAGCTTTTGATCTAGCAATTGTCGCTTGATGACTGCAACCTGCTGTCGTAGCTGGAGTGTATCTTGACCTGCGCTCTCGACTTCCATGGCCTGTGTGGCAAGTATGCGAAGCTCGGTTGCTTTTTGTCGTATGCCAGGCCCCAACCATGATGAGAGTAGCACCTGGTTTGTCCTTGTGCAGGGCGTCATTGTACTGCCTCGGAAAAGCTTTCTCCGAACGCCGTCACAGACGCCCATGCCGACCCACAGCGTGTTGGGAATGTCCACGCCCATGCCGCCTGCCATTATGTTGCGCAGTCGTGGCACATGTGGACCACAATGGGCATTCATGACACCGTGCCATTATTTCGGTTTGTACACGCCTACAACGACGTGCGTTCATTCACTATTCCGTGTCGGAAAGAACGTGACAGATCCCATTGTGTGTTGACAGCGAACGGCGACCATGACGAATGTTTCCGACCGTGCAGACATTCATTTTTTGTTCCGCTCCGCGAGCCTCGTGAAGGTTTCTTGAATTACGCATTGGAAAACCCAATCAGTGGATGTTTTGAAAAGTAGTCACATGGATTTTGATATCGATTTAGATCGATAATGAGATCGATAGTGTAATCGATAGAGGACGAGTGTAAGGTCGATCGTGAGACCGAGAGTGAAATCGATTCAATGAGATCGATAGGGAGATCGATCGCGAGATCGTTCGTGCGATCTCTAGTGAGATCGTTTGTGGCATCGATAGTGAGATCGATTGTGAGATCGATGGTGAGATCGATAGAGAGGTGGGAAATGAGATCGATGGTGAGACCGATCGATAATAAGATCGACCAGGAACCCGGGAACCCAGTAACCTTGCCGCCCACCGAAATCAGCCCAGAACCCGGAATCGGGAACCCAGAAACCCAGCGTGCGACCAAAATCAGCGGGAAATGTTCGCCAAATCCTTCAACCTCCGCTAAGACCCCGTCAGTGCAAGCACTGATTGGGAAATAACCAGGCTCCACCCACTCCTGGATAACGTTTTAACTGAAGGAATGGATCACCCCAGGCCCCCCCCCCCCTGCAGGCGGAAACCCGTTTAGCTTTTTTTGTCGGGAGGAGCCTTTTGACCGCGCGCCTGATGATGCGCCCGGGATTGGGCGCAGAAGCCTTCATTTGTCCTGCGGGTGTTGTTGGGGCCTTGGTGTGGCGTTTGGAGAAACACTTCCGAGCCTGTAGCATGCTTCCAGAAGGTAGTCGATGAGTGCCTGATGCTCTCGTGCAGTGTAGATTTTGTAGTCATCGCGTCTTGCTGTAGGTGTAGCCCGGCGGTTGTGGTTTGGGTCTTGGCGTCGGTCGTTGTGGACGTCGCGCGTGTAGTTGATGCTCCCAGGGTTATGGTGCTCTGGCTTGCTGATGGTAGGTGTCGCTGTAGTACTGCTGGTTGGGTTGTTTTGACCTCGTGTGGTCGGCTGGCTGGTCGTCGGTGCACTGGGTAGGTAAAACCGATAGGCTGCCAAGTGGGTAGTTTCCTCTTGCCGTGGTTGTGCTTCTGTTGATGTGTCCCTCTGCTTTTGCTTTTGGCGTGGGACATTGTGCTGGTCGTCGGTCTAGGTGGTTGTTGTGCGCTGTGATGTTGGTCGAGCAGTTGTCGAGCTATGTTGGGATTATGCTGGGTGTGCTGGACCAGTTGGGTGCGTGCTGAAGCAACTCGCAGTAGTGAAGGTGCTGTAGCTCGTTGTTTCGGCTTGCGTCGGTGCCGGGGACAGTTTGACGTCGACGTTGTCGTTGCGCTACTGCTTGCCAACTCCTGCATCGGGAGTTGGTGCTAGGTGCTAGGTGGCGGTTGCTTGGCGAAAACGGAGGTGCATGTTGTGTTTGTGCTGTCGTTACCGTTGGTAGTAGTTGACGAAGTCGCGGTGGTGCTTCGTCTTGGCCAAAATGGCCGTCCAAGTGGTGGTGGTGCTAGGGCCACCCGAGAAGTAAACGAACAATAGGGAGTATAGGTGTCTGGAGGAAACGGAACGTAAGAGGTGTCTGGTGATACGGAATGTAAGAGGTGTTCGATTATTTGATATTGGTGATGTGATGCCGATGGGTCGGCGTAGTGCGTATGACGCCTCAACCGATTTGCTGGTCGTAGTCTCCTCTTCCTCCTCATCCAGATTCCGCCTCCCCTCTGCAAATGCTCAGATGTTTAGCACTAGCAGGCCGCTTTCTGGTTGATTGGGAGTTTCTGCATATATAGAAGAAGGAGCTTGATTACGCGGGTAAGTAGGATGCCAGGGTGGGCGGGGCCTGGTGGACGCATATTGTAAAGATATGAGGCGGAACGTAGGTGCGTCCCCAATGCCGTGTGAAACGCAAGCCATTGCAAGTTGCACTTCGCGATCAATCCTCGAGCCGCCATCCTGTTTTCGCGGCCTTTGCCCATGAATCTGAACGTTTACGCTTCCAGCCCATCTCGCTCCCGTGCTCGCATCCTCCACCTTTTCCTCCACATCCTCCCAGGAAACCCCTGAAGTCGAACCCTCGATCCTCGATCCCGGGAGGTCCCTGGAGGTCATCCCTCCTCCTCCTCCTCCTCCTCCTCCTCCTCTTTTTCCTCCTCCTCCCCCTCAGCATCATAATCCACACATTATTGCTCTCTCCTCTTCCTCTCTCTCATCCCTCTTCCCTTCTCCCTCGTCCGTCGTTGTGCTCACAGTGCGGGTATTATGCCAGTAGTGTCATCAGATGTTTGGGGCAGGTCTGCCTCAGGTGTACGAATGCGAATCGAGCTGTTTATTTGAATCGGGTCGAGTCCGATCGTTGGCCGAAGGCGCTAAGCAAGGCCGCGAAGCTGGCTCGCAAGCGTCCGTAGGCGTCGTTTCGTCTCGCATCGCGACTGTTCTCACTCTCACTCTCACTCACTCACTCTTTCGTCTTCCCGTGGGGCCTGGGAGGGCGTTGGCGGCCCTCGTGGCGCTTGGTGCGAGGATGCTTTGAGCGAGGGCGCCAAACTGGGACACGTCCAGTGCGTCTGGTGCGTCCCTGGAAAACACGCCCAGCGCGCCCGGCGCTCCTGGTGCATCCCCTGAAATGGTCCCTCGTGTTGGGGACGATTTCGCAAGGATGTCTGAGCGAGAGCGCTGGATTAGTCCACGCCCAGTGCGTTCGACGCCCCCGTTACATTCAGAGAAATAGTCCTTGTGAGCGCGCTGGGGGCCTTTGGAGCGATTCTCGCGAGGAGGAGCTCTCGAACGAGAGCGCCAGATTGGGACACGCTTGGCGCGCCTTGCACGCCCGGTGCTTCCCTCGAACTGGTCCCTGGGAGCGCGCTAGGGGCCCCCAGGGCGATTTTTGCGAGGATCTCTCAAGCGATAGCGCCAGATTGGGACACGCCCGGCGCGCCCGGTGCATCACTGGAAATGGTCCCTGGGGGCGCGCTGGCGGCGCGTGGGGCGATATCTGCAAGGAGCGGCGTCTCTGGCGAGCAATTGGGACACACCCCGTGCGCCAGGCGCGCACGGTGTATCTTCAGAAATGGTCCCTGGGAGCGCGCCGAGAGCTCAACCGTTGCGTCGCATCTCCCGTGGACTATTTTGCACAAAATTCAGGAGCGAAAGAAGGACGCACACGTACATGAATCCACGCTGGTTTCCAGATTTCGCATGCGCGAATGTTCGTATTACGCGGCCGGTCTCGCGGGTCAAGGGGCCATGTTCATGTACATAGTTGAGCGCGTACGTCTTCTGTGGGCTCCCTAAGAATGTCAAGTGTGATATCCAGGTTGTGTTTTCAAATCGGACGTATTCGGCCCTTCACGAGTTCGTTTCCCGATACAGTGATGGCAACATTTCAGGACCAGTGATGTCGTCAGTCCGACTGGCGCTCTTGCCCTATCGTGAGCCACAGTTGTCGATTCGAGTCCTTCCTCGTCGTTGCCGTCTTCCTTATTCCAGTTCGCCTTCCCCTGGTTTTCCTGCTCCTCCTTTTTCTATTGCCCAGCCCGTGCTCCACCTCATTCCTGCCGCTTCGCTTCCTCCAATGTAGCAAGGGCTTTCTATTCCGATTTCGCAGCGAGCGATGTATTAAATCCGGCAACGGCCAGTGGGGGATCAACGTCGTCTAGGATTCCCTCAGCCGGCGGATAGAAGAGGTCTCAGCGCAATGGTAAGGGACAGGCGTGGGGTGGTCTGGCCGTCAGATGTGGCGCGAGCTCACCTGATCAATTTGCTTTTCTAAAGAGCACGATATAAATATACCTGTTCAGAGTTCCGCGCGGATTCCTCGGGTCCACGTGGTCCCCCTTCCCTGACGCGCGGAGCGCGACAGGGGCAGCGCCGGAGGCGTCACAAGGAGGGTCCAGCGCCTTTTGTTCCTTTGCTCTCTCCTCCTTCCGTCCTCCATCCCTCAGGCGTCCTCCTCCCCTGCTCGGAGCCTGCGGGGCGGAGGCGCCACGCAAGAGAGGTGGCATAGCAGGAGAGCCAGATGCAGGGGAAGACGGAGGAGGGGAGGAGGAGCCTTCCTCCCCTCCATCCTCCCCTCCTTCCGTCCTCCCCTCCTCCCCTCCTCCCTCCTCCCTCCTCCGCCCTCCCTCCGCCTTGCGCCCAGGGACTCCCCCCCTCGGCCCCCGGGCCCGACCGAGGTCGGACACGAGCTCCTCCCACGGCTCGCACGCGGTGTCGCAGGGGTCCTGCCCGAAGTCCGACTCGAGGCCCACCGGCAGCGTGCGGCCTCTCTCCTGCGCTCCCGCCGCCGCCTCTGACCCCCACCTTCCCGGGTGGGGAGGGCGCGAACAGATCATCCTCTTCCTCCTCCTCCTCCTCCTCCTCCTCCTCCTCCTCCTCCTCCTCCTCCTCCTCTTCCTCCTCCTCCTCCTCCTCCTCCTCCTCCTCCTCCTCCTCCTCCTCCTCCTCTCTTCCTCCTCCTCCTCCTCCTCCTCCTCCTCCTCCTCCTCCACCTCCTCCCCCCTCTCCTTAACCTCCTCCTCCTCCTCCTCTTCCTCCTCGTCCTCCTCCCCGTCCTCGTCCTCCTCCTCTTTTTCCTCCTCCTGCTCCTCCATTCCATTTCCTTATGAATCATTTCTCCCTGTCGAACCCCGAGGCCAGTTTTTAGGGCGGGCCAGGCGTTTTGCCTGAGACTTCCTCACCATTTCTGATTCTGAAGCTTGAAAAATAGACACCAGCTTCACAGTTGGAGGGCGGCTGGTTTTCAAAATGTGGCTCTCGTCTCAGGGCCGCGCACACATTTGTTTTGAAACATGGCAAGAGTTTCACGGATTGAGGGCGGCTGGTTTTCAAAATGTGGGTCTCGCCTTAGCTCCGCGCACATTTGTTTTCAACAGTTGCAGGAGTTGCACGGATTGTGGGCGGGTGGTTTTGAAAATGTGGTTCTCGTTCTAGCGCCGCGCGCATTCGTTTTCCGAATGTGCAAGAGTTTCACGGATTGAGGACGGCTCCTTTTCAAAATGTGGTTCTCGCTTTAGCGCCGCGCGCATATGTTTTAAACATGTGCAAGAGTTACACGGATTGAAGGCGGGTGATTTTCAATATGTGGTTCTCGCCTGAGCACCGCGCACTTTTTTCATACAAAATTCAAGAGCTTCACGGATTGAGGGCGGCTGTTTTCGCTTTAGGGCCGCACACATTCGTTTTCAACATTTGCAAGAGTGTCACTGGTTCCAGTGATCAACAAACATACCAGTAATGGCGTTTTGGATCAAATCAAAACGTTGTACATGCCGCGGCCGACGAACAGCAGCACGACATAAAAAATAGAAAAAGATCAGCAACTTTCGGGGGTGACACCCTCCTCCGCCGCCTCCTCCTCCTCCACCTCCGCAGATTTCTCTGCGCCCTCCTCGCCCTCCCCGTCCTCCTCCCTGCTCTCGCCCTCTACCTCCTCCGTTTCTCCATCCCGGGCATCTGCGCGCTGCCCTCTGCCCTCGCCTGGCGGGGTCCGCCTGTGCGGATGCCTCCCCGCCCCCTCCTCGACCTCCTCTCGCCGGGTGGGATCCGCCTGTGCGGGTGCCCCCACCCCGGCGGGGCCCGCCTGTGCGGGTGCCCCCACCCCTGCCTCTACCTCCTCCTCCTCCTCCTCCTCCTCCTCCTCCTCCTCCTCTGCCTCTCCCTCTGCCTCTCCCCCTGCCTCCTCGCCCTTCGTTGCGAGCCCGCTCCTCCTCTTCCTCCTCCTCTGCCTCCTCGGCTCCCTCGCCCTGCTGGCGCTGCTGCAGTTCCGCCTCTTCCTCGAGGAAGTCGTCCGCCTCCCTGCCCCCCTGCGGGGCCGTCTGCGCCGCCTCCTCAGGCGCTCGCCACTGACGGGCTGGATACCTGACGTCCCAGGTGCGTTCCGCCACCTCTTCCATCCAGCGCAGGACCAACCGATCCTCGTCCCGGCTGCGTCCCGCTGGCCAGCCCCAGCGCGCCTGCAGGGCGTCCCCTGGCCGGGCCGGGGCCCAGCGTGGTCGGTGTGTGCACCCCCACATGATGTGGTCCTGGTCTGGCAAGTCTGTGTCGCAGCTAGGCCACACGCAGTGGCATGCTTCGTCAAACTTCCCTCCTCCCGCTGCTTTCGCCGCCAGCGGCGACAGGAAGGACCCGCACATTATGTGCATCCTCGTCCCCGCTCCGTCCTTTGCTGCCTCTCGGGCTAGCTTCACGCGGGCCTCATCGTATTCGACGCCCTGCAGCGGGGCCACATCCCTCCTCCTCTGGCGCTTGAACTGCTGCCAGTTCCACCAGCGCCAGCCCTCGCACACCTGGTGCATCTGCCTGGCGTGCACCTCTTTCTCCACCTCGTCACAAGCTGGACGCTCCTGCAGGTCCAGCTCCATCCCCGTGCCCGGGTGGTACCAGTTCCAGGCGCTCGCGTCCCCTGCCAGCCCATTTTCCGCAGCCAGCAGCGCACCTCCGCCACTAAGGTGCCTCGCTTGCGGTACCAACTCGTGTACCAGCGGGAATCGTCTCGCCTCCGCAGCCGTCGCCGCATCGTGGCCACCTGCCGGCACCCGATCACCACATCCGCCGCAAGGGTGCCGCCCTCGAGGATGTTCATGATGTGCTTGGACCCCATGGGGCATCCGCCTGCGCTCCTCCTGATCGCTGCCGTCACCTGGTCGGCCTTGACCCGGGGCGGGGTCTTCGCCATCCAGCCATAGGTGCTCTTGGACAACCCAAAGGCCCTGCAGTATTCCTGCTTCTTGCGTCGCCCAACCGGCAAGCATTGCAGGCGGCGGATCTCTCTCAGCGCGCTCTGTACCCGCGCTTCTTCCTTCACATGCATGCCTCTGCCCTGCACCCCCACCGTGACGACTCCGAGGGCCTCCATCGCCGGGACCACCTTGTCCCCCAGCCCCTGCCTGTCTGCCTCCGCCCGCAGCGCCGCCTCCTCCGCGCGCCCGCGAGCAACGAGCTGGATCTTCCGTGGGTTCTCGCGGAGTCCCACTCGCGCGCTCCAGCGGTGCCAGATGGCCACCCGTCCCACCACCTCCACGGCGGTCGTCGCGGACCACGTCCTGTCGTCCATATAGATGGTGGACCTCGGTGTCCGGCCTGCCCGCCTCCCTAGCGCTCTCCTCCTCAGTCGTCCAGGCCCGGCGGCCTGTGAGCGCCCCTCGCCCGCTGCTGCCTCCTCCTGCCTCGGTTCCTCGGCCTCCTCCGCTTGGGCGTCCGCCGGGCCCTCTGTGCCCGGTGCTGCCCCTGTCTCCTCCGCCTGCGCCTCGTCGCAGTGCTCCTCCTCCGCCTCCGCCGCTGCTGCTGCTGCCGCTGCTGCTGCTGCTGTTGCTGCTGCTGCTGCGGCTGCTGCTGCTGCAGCTGCTGCTGCTGCCTCCTCTGCCCGTCGTGGTTCGGGCGTCGGCCCTCCTCCCGCCAGTGCTCCAGCGTGCTGCGGCGTCGCCTGCCTGGCCTCTCCTGCCTCCGCTGTCTACTCAGCGTGCTCTGCCTCTGCCTCTGCCTCCTCCTCCTCCTCCTCCTCCTCTTCCTCCTCGGCCTCCGCGCCTTGCGCTCTCGCCGCGGCAGCCTCCTCTTCCTGCCGCCTCACCCAGCGGGTTCCTGCGCCCATCCACACGTTGAGGGCCATCGGTCCGAAAGGATCCCCTTGTGGGAGGGCATCGCTTGCCACCAGGGCTTGGGGGCTCACGTGGCCATTCCAGATGACCCATCTGCGCTGGCCAGTCCACAGTTCCTTGCATTGGCGAGCGATCCTCCTGGGCCACCCCGCTCGCTCCAGCAGTTCACAAGTCACTTGGGGGTGCATGTGATCATAACACAACGAAAAATCCAGCGTGCCAGCATACCCCTGCTGTGCGAGGTTGTCCGCGATGTCCGCTGCTGCTTCCTCCGCGCCTTTGGAGCCGGCGCCACCCAGCACATCTTCGGGGATGTTGTGTCTCCTCCATTCTGCGGCTGGGGCTGACTTGACCCATGCCGAAGCCCAGACGCGCCACCACACGCACTCCACGTTGATCGGCCGCGTGTCGCCAGCCTCCAGCCGGCCAGCCTGCACCTTGCCCGGCTTCGGGAGGTTCGCCTGCCGCGTCTCCTTCAGCACTTCTGGCACCTTCCCTGCTGTTTGCCAGCGGATGGCAATCATCCGAAACAGGTCTGCCACTGCAGCCGGCATGTAGCGGACCTCTGGCCCAGACCAGCCGTCGACGCTGGCGCTGCCCTTTGCCTGCCCCAGCGCTCGCCGCACCTCCTGCTGCGTAGGGTCGCGCCACTCCACCGCATGGGGGTCCCTCTCATACTCCGCCGCCATGAGGTCGATCGCCTCACGCCTCCGCTGTTCAGCTCCTGATGCGGCCTGCGGTGCCCACACCTCCTGCCAGTGCTGGCGAATCGCCTCTGTAGCCTCTTCCAGAGTCTCCCTTGGCGCCCCTCGCCATGTGATTGTGGGCGTCGTCGCCATATCCTTCTGGCCGCGGAGCCACGCCGACACCTCCCGGATGCCGCCGCGCATGCGGTCCCGCCATTCCTGAAGCCGTTCCTGCCGCTGGGCCTCCTCGACCGCCTGCAGGGCCGCCTCCGCCTTGCGAATGCGGTTCTCCAGCTCCCTCAGGCTGCCTGCTTCCTCCTCTTCCTCCTCTGCCTCCTCTCCTCCGCCACTCGTTGCCTCCTAAGCCCTCCTCCTGGTCGGCCTCCTCGATGGCCTCCGCCTCTCTCCGCTCCTTTGCCCGGCCCGCGCTGCACCCTCCGCCAGAGCTGGCGCTGCTCCTCTGTGCTGCCCCAGGCGTCGCCGACCGCGGCGCGTTGCCTGAGAGCCTCCTTCGCCCTGGCGAGCCACCTCCTCGCCTTCCTTACCTGGAAGGTGTCCTGGTTCTCCTCTCCGGAGCCTCGGAGCTGCTCCCAGCGGTGCTCCCCGCATCCTCCTTTGCCGCCCTTTGCGGCAGCGGCCTCCTGGCAGTCTGCGGCCGTGTCCTCCCTGCCCGCTGCGGCCTCCTCCTCCGCAAGCTTCCGAAAGGCGCGGCGCATCATGTCCCCCAGCGCCGTGTTGAAGTCGCCCCATTCCTCCTCGACCTGGATCCCCTCCTCCACAAGATCCGTCCTCCCCAGCCTCCTCCTAGTTTCTGCAAGCGTGAGCGTTGTCTCGAATCTCATCCGTGCCTCGGACGCTGCCGTGGCCGCCCAAGCCTCCTCTAGAGCCTGCCTCCATCTGTCGGCATCCACCCCCTTTGGTTTCTTCCAAGAGGGCGTCACCCGCAACTTGCCGATGCGCCTG